CCTTATAAATTAATTTTTAAATAATTAAACAACTGTGGATGTAAAATTGTATTGCTTTTTATGAGTTCAGATTTGCCGCTCTATAATACATCCCTAGTAACAAAAGTGATATGAAACAAGGGGAGGTAATAACTGATATACAGATAGATCTAGCAGTCATGATGTTTGTGTACACGAGGTAAGATCGAGCTACTGTTTAAAGTTAAAGGTACATTTATTCAATCAATGAATTCCAAGGACTGGAAATTAGGGCCGGTGTAAAGACGAATAATGACACCCATCGAATAATGACCGGGGGTCATTTTTTGACAGCGAAAAAGGACCCCCGGTCACTATTCGATGTAGAAAAATAACCCTTTTGCCCGTAAAAAAAGTGTCACCACTCTAAAAATTTGCAGAATCCACGTGAAGAAAAATGACCCCCGTAGAAAAATGACTCCCTGTTGATTAAAACTGAAATTTTTAGGGGGCAAAAAAACATTGGATAAAGAAGCATTCTGGCCTAAATGCGTAGCTGAACTTATTTGGAATAAATTGATGATATGTTGATCTCATAACATACGATTACAGCTATATTTTAAGGTCAATGTAATGATTCAGAATCTAAAGGAGTAAAGATTTATCAAGCCTAAAGGGTTAAGTAAGTATTGTTTTTCGATGATAGGAATCATCGTACTGACAGAAAAAATCAGACAGAAAAAGCTGTTTCAAATATAATTTTATTCTCCTCTTGAAAAGCGGGAGGGTATATAGTGATTGGGATGTCCGTCCGTCTGTTACGCTTTGGGGTATCCATCTGTTATCCGCAACTCCTCTTACATATAATGTATTTGTAAAATAGCTATGTCCCTGTATGGCAACATAGCAAAGATTCAACTTTTCTTAAAGGCAATTCAAATATAATGGTACACAAAGTAGGGTCTTCTCACAAGAAATATAATTGCAAAATAGGAAAGCCCTAGCACCACTTGTTCAAAATTAATGGCATTTATGTGTAAAAATGGGACAAACTCTAAGGTAAAGGTCAAAAGTTCAAATTTGGTGGTACCAAAAGTAAGGTCTTGTCACAAAGAATGTACACATATGAAATATGAAAGATAAAGCTACAATTAAATGAAAAATTATGGTTAAGGTTAAAGTTTTTGAGGAGAAACAGACCGCCAGATAGACATACAGACGGACACGATAAAACGATAAACCCCCTAATTGTCGATTACAGGGACATAAAAAGAAATGTTCTTCAATAAAATTTACATATATATATTATGATACATTATAAAAAAGACGTTACAAAAATGAAAATGTTTGTTCTGATTTTCATATTAAATTCTCTGAAAAATATACTCAGAACTTGGTAAAATCGTGAAGAAAAAAACAAGAATTAAGAAATGTAATGAATACCATGTGTTTAATCAAAAGGTTATGTGTACATGTATAGTTTTTGCATTAGAATGTGTATTTTACACTAGCCTATAGCTTTACAGAGCATATTTTTAGGTGTTATACCCACCCAATCCCCTTACTTATTTAGGAGGAAGTTGATAAAACAAAAGCAACAAAAAAACTACCCTACATTATTTTTTCTATAAGGAGGTACTAAAAATAAGCTTAAAATAATCTACTATTCTACTTATTTTCAACTGTTACTCTGACACAATACTTTCAAGTATACCCGCATCAACATTTAAAGAATGCTTTAATCATGGCGAAGTAAATTATGATATGATTGAACTTGTTTAAAAGCTTAACTTCATTTCAGTATTTTATCTAGAGCCTCTTTCAGTATTATTGAAAGGTATAGAGTTTTATTTATATGATTGTTTGCTTTTCATTTATTTTTTGTTTGTTTTGATTTAACGTATTTTTTTTAGGGGGGGGGGAGTAAAAATTTCCCCCTCTTTCATTGTCAAATAGGATTTGCCAAACTTATACAAGCTACAAAATTTGAAATGAAGGAAAAATTATTTTTTTTTATTAAAGTCAAGAATATTGGAATCTGATTGTTGCATGGTTTGATTTCTAAAAACAAGTGGAATATCATTCTTTAAGGTCATTGGCAACGCAGGGTTTTCGGAGAAAAAAGGTTTATACCCAGGTTTTTCTCACTTATGAAAAAAGTCATTTAGAGTGATCTCACGTATGGATTTCTCTAGGCGCTGAAAACAAATAAAGCATATATGTTGCAGACTGAGAAGTAAACAAAAGCACCTGTGTTTATTTGTCGGATATATTCAACTCAACAGTACTAAAAGAAAAGCAGCGATGGGTTTGTTAACATTGTGCTGAGGAGACAGACAGTCAACAGGTCGTCATTTAGAATAGGTACATGAATCCAGGAAAGTGCAAAGATGTGATATAATTATGCTGAAAGTGGTGATAGCTAGGTAGACCGAATGAGAACGATTCCTATAGGTTATGTGAACGAGACACCATTTAAAGTTACTATAATTCCTTGCAAAAATGTTTTATGAAAGTTCGCTTCCAATAAAGTAAATTAAAGAATAGAAACAAACAACAAGTCTCTTGATCATAATGAATATTTATTAGATGTTAAGGGAAGAAACTCAAAATTAAAGAAAAGTGCTGGTATTTCTGTGTTTTGTTTCAATATTTGCATTTTCAGACAACGTATATGCATGTCATCGGAAATAAGGTTTCAACAATGTATTTTATGTATAAACATTATGGCCTTTGGAGAAAACGTATGGTTAAAAATAATATAGGCCCATTTTATCAACATTTTACATAGGAAATACATTGAAAATGGTAAAAGCATTGATTTGACAAATTTTTTAAAGGAAGGTTGGTTTGATGGGTAAAAAGGACCTGAATTGAACATGTTTGGTACCATTAAACCTGGTCAAAAAATCTTGAAAAATTCTATACGAAAACCAAAAACGTTGTCAATGTCCTTTTAAAGCAAACACTAAAAGGAGGAATATTAAAAAGAAATTTTATTTACTTGACAATCAAAGAATCTCTTTTCACTTTAAAGGGGGTCATTTTTCAATGGGGGTCATTTCTTTTTAGGACTAACATATAAAAAAATGACCACTAGGACACTTTTTCTACAAAAAATGATTTTTTTTACGGGTAGGGGGTCATTTCTTGTCGTTGAAAAATTACCCCTGGTCATTATTCGATGGGGGTCATTATTCGTCTTTACACCGGGATTGTATGGAATACAGATGATTCAGCTGGTTGTCAAGGGTGTTTGTCCCCATACAAAACCAGGTTATTAAGAAATAATTTGCGTTCCTTTTCGGTAATCAACCAATGTGAGACTTGAATACAAACAAAATTTAATTATTCATTTATACCTTTTTTCGTCAACGTCTGGCCTTTCATACCAAATTAACTTTTGTGATGCATATTATTTCACCTTTGTTGGTAGACCAAATTAAATAAATTGCAGATTTTTTTTTGCCGAAGTAGAAAGTAATAAACTTAGATGATCATCTACTTTTGAGTGATCATTGACATGTGTGCCGTGTACATTACGTCAACATCAACGTCATAATGGGGTAAAATGACGTTATATAAAATTGAGGGGATATTTTTCCAATCCTTTGTATCCAAACAGAACAGAGACATGTCTCTGAACAGAAATATATATGCACTTCTATTTAAAAAGTAATAACAAGTACCTGTTCACTTCTTGCTAAAAATCGTTTGTAAAGGGAATGTAAAATCGGATCGTGTTACCACCGCACCAATCGACTCCATTCGACTTACCTAAGCAAGTCGAATGAAAATTGGATGTAAAATCGCATCGTGTGACCGCACCTGTATATATTTTAATAGCATTAAAAGGTAAAAAGGACCTGAATTGAACATGTTTGGTACCATTAAACCTGGTCAAAAAATCTTGAAAAATTCTATACGAAAACTAAAAACGTTGTCAATGTCCTTTTAAAGCAAACACTAAAAGGAGGAATATTAAAAAGAAATTTTATTTACTTGACAATCAAAGAATCTCTTTTCACTTTAAAGGGGGTCATTTTTCAATGGGGGTCATTTCTTTTTAGGACTAACATATAAAAAAATGACCACTAGGACACTTTTTCTACAAAAAATGATTTTTTTTACGGGTAGGGGGTCATTTCTTGTCGTTGAAAAATTACCCCTGGTCATTATTCGATGGGGGTCATTATTCGTCTTTACACCGGGATTGTATGGAATACAGATGATTCAGCTGGTTGTCAAGGGTGTTTGTCCCCATACAAAACCAGGTTATTAAGAAATAATTTGCGTTCCTTTTCGGTAATCAACCAATGTGAGACTTGAATACAAACAAAATTTAATTATTCATTTATACTTTTTTTCGTCAACGTCTGGCCTTTCATACTAAATTAACTTTTGTGATGCATATTATTTCACCTTTGTTGGTAGACCAAATTAAATAAATTGCAGATTTTTTTTGCCGAAGTAGAAAGTAATAAACTTAGATGATCATCTACTTTTGAGTGATCATTGACATGTGTGCCGTGTACATTACGTCAACATCAACGTCATAATGGGGTAAAATGACGTTATATAAAATTGAGGGGATATTTTTCCAATCCTTTATATCCAAACAGAACAGAGACATGTCTCTGAACAGAAATATATATGCACTTCTATTTAAAAAGTAATAACAAGTACCTGTTCACTTCTTGCTAAAAATCGTTTGTAAAGGGAATGTAAAATCGGATCGTGTTACCACCGTACCAATCGACTCCATTCGACTTACCTAAGCAAGTCGAATGAAAATTGGATGTAAAATCGCATCGTGTGACCGCACCTGTATATATTTTAATAGCATTTCACATTTAAAAAATAATTTCATCTTTAATATAAGTTATTGAAACTTCAAACTTTTGGGTGGGTTTGATTGACAGATCCTTGCACTCTCATAAATTTACTTTTATTTTTAATGCTATACAATAGTGGCGATCTTATTGTGACAGTGTATAAATGAAAAATATTGTCACACAATATTTGTTTTATTTTAACTTCAGAACCTTTCCAGGCGAACCACAATAGAGGATATTCTTGGCAGAACACTACCTGCAATAGATGTATTTGGAAAGTCAATTAAGTATCTGAAAAACCACTTTTTAACAACACTGAAAAACAGGGTATCTGGTTCATCAATTAACGATGTGTTGTTTGTTCTCACTGTACCTGCAATTTGGAGAGACTCTGCAAAGGAAATCATGCGAGAGGCAGCTTTAAATGTTATTAATTTTTCTTATTTTTTTTCTCTTGACCCCCCCCCCCCCAAAAAAAACTATTGAACTTATTCAATTCAAAACCTTGAAAAAAAACGAGAAAAAGAACAGTGTTGTTATATTTTCTTCCCTGGTGCCAATAACGGCATTCAATAGTAAATAAGCTGATTTATAATATTGTAATAATTATTGAAATAAATATTGTACTACCTTAACAATTAATTTGCATTGCTGATGGATCTAAAATGTATAAAAATCGAAAATGTGAGTTTTTAATATACTTTTATTGTATAATGAACATTATTGACAGATGATACAAATAAAAAATGGATTCCTGGATTCGTACATATTTTTTGACCCATTTGCATTGCAAAAAATGCAAATAATAAATTTCTAAAATATAAAAAAATTGTAAACCTTCTGTGACGTTCAAATTTTACCCTTCTGAAACCATTCTTATTATTCTATACAAATATTTTTCACTTCAAAATGCATTTTTGTGCAACTTTGAATAAAAATTTAAAAATTACGCGATGAAACCTATTCATTTAATTCATTATAACATGACCCAAGTTGATATTTTCAAAATTTGTGACAAAAAAAGTTTGTTATCTGTCCTTAAGAAAACTTGAATTCTTAGATCCTTTATAACAGTTTAATACTTATCAAATTAATGTTGAGTACTTCAAGTAAAATTATATAAGAATACAGTCCTTCTTTTCTTTTCGGCACATTAAATTAAAGCATATATATATACGATAATTTCAAATTGAATGTGCATTAAGAGCTTCGCTAAAGTTTGACTTTTCACTTCATTTAAATAACTTGAAGTGTACTTTTACTTTAATTGGTTCATATTCGAAATTGAGGTCCTCGTCATTCTTCTTCCAACAGGCTGGGATTCCTCCAAGACAGATCACTCTAGCTTTAGAACCAGAAGCAGCTTCTATTATGTGTCAAAATATCCCCAATGAAGATTGCACCATATCTCTACCAGGCACTCAGTACCTGATTGCTGACATCGGGGGTATAAACTTTACAATTATTTCATTTTAAGTACACCTGTGCTGAAGGTTCAAGTGAGCTTTTCTGATCAAAATTTGTCAGTTATCTGTCGTTGTTGTAGTCGTTGTTGTCGTTGTACTCACTCACTGTCGTTGTTGTTGTTGTTGTCGTCGTTAACTTTACACATTTTTATCATGTTTTATCTTCTCAAGAATCCCAGGACCGAATTTAACCAAACTTGCCAAATAGTACCCTTGGGTAAAGGGAATTAAAGTTTGTTTAAATGAAGGGCCACACCCATTTCCTAGGTGGCATAGTCATGCAAAGGTAGAAAATTAATGTCATGTTTTAAAAATCTTCTTCTCATAAACCAATGAGCCAGGAAAAATGAAACTCATGTTGAATCATTCTCAGTTAGTGTAGATTCAAATTTGTTTAAATCATTCCCCCGAGAGTAGGATGGGGCCACATTGGGGTATCAAATTTCAACATAAGAATACATAGGAAAAATCTTTAAAAATCTTCCCCAGAACCACTGGGCCATGAAAAATTACACTCGTGTGGAATCATCCTCAGGAAGCGAATTTTCAAGTTTATTCAAATCATGACCCCAGGGAGTAGGATGAGGCCACGATGAGGAACCAAAGTTTAACATGGGAAAACATAGGGAAAATCTTTAAAAATCTTCTTTTCAAGATTCACTAGGTCATGAAAGATGTAAGTCATGCAGAGGCAACTTCCGAAATTAAGGGAAGATTTAATTTTGTTCATATCATGACCCTTTGGGCAAGGGTGTGGCTGCTATTGGTGATAAAGATTTTACATACGAATTCATGAAAAAAATCGTTAAAATTCCTCCTAATGCCATCATGATATTGATCATCAATTTAAAAGCATAAAAACATGAAATAGGTAAGGTAGATTTGAATTTCAGGAGAATAGAGGAGCCATAAAGTTGTCAAATGTATATAAAGCTATATATTAATAAATATATTCATCTTATAAACACAAAACCATAATGTGTCACACAAGCATTCTAAAGAAGTGTAGATTTACCATGTTTACATGTAAGTTTGTTTAAACATCCCCTCCCCTCTCCAGAACCAATCTTTATAATTTATTTAAACGTTTCAATACTGAGCTAATTTTTGCTTTTACCTAGCCAGTTGCTCAGTGGGCGATTAAGCCCCCGGTCCTCTTGTTTATTTTTTTGTTTTCTTGACTATGTGTAGCCTGCTTAACGTAATGACATCAGGAAATAAACTATATAATATTGTTTTAAATGCATATAATGTTTTGTTTATATATTCTTAAAAATAATTAAATATCACTGCTTATTATTTTGTTCGAGTTTTTGAACGTACTTATTTAAAACTAATACATATAGCTGTAGTATAACGAGAAGATCTTTGTTAACTATCAGATTGAAAAATATATTTTCTCAAGATATTTATAGTTAACTATCTTTTAAGGTGGAACGGGGGATTTTACTGTTCATGAAATACTGGGAAAAGACACCATAAAAGAAATAAGCAAGGCAAGTGGGGGTGCATATGGTGGAATCAACGTCGACTTGAACTTCCTTCAATTTCTGCAGAAGGTAATGGGTGTAAATGCACTACGTCAACTAAAGAACGAAGAGATGGAAGATTATTTAGATTTACTGCGTGATTTCGAAATCAAAAAGAGGACCGTTACAAATGAGGAAGAAAAGACGTATGTCGTAAAGTTGAGTGCATCTTTCAATAAATTTGCAAGGGATAACAATCCAAATTTTCAAAGAGAAATAAAGTATTTGCGCCTTAAAGGAACTGCTGTCTTCTTAAAAGATAAGCTTAAAATTGACGCAGTCATCATGAGAGGTTTCTTTGAAAATTCTATCAACGATATATTAGATCACATAAAAACACTATTGGAGAGATATAAGAATGTAAAACATATCCTTCTTGTCGGCGGATATGGAGAATGCACTCTCTTACAAGAAGCAATACGAAAAAAGTTTCGGAATAAGACATTGATTGTTCCACAAGACTGTGGACTTGCAGTAGTTAAAGGTGCCGTCTTGTTTGGGCATAAACCCGAGAGAATGTCTTCAAGAATCTTGAGATATTCATATTTTACAAACTTAAGACAGGATTTTGACCCAAGCATTCATGATATAAAAAGAAAAGCAATTTCTGATTTTGGTGACATTTTCTGTAAAGGCAGTGTATTAAGAATCATTGCAGCAGGGACAGCCATTGATTCTACAGGGTTACAGAAAAAAATGTCAGTATATCCCCTGTACAAAGATACTGATCATATTTGGTGCGAGATTTTTTATTCAGAGAAAAATGACCTTCTATATGACGATTCTGAAGATTGTAAATCTCTTGGAACAATCCGAATACCTATGGCTGGTAAAAAGGGAGAAAGGGAAAGATGCAAAGCTGTTTTTACTTTTGGTCTCACTTCTCTTCAACTGAAGGTGATGAATTCAGCAGGCAAGGAGGTGGAAAAGTCATTTGATCTTCTGGAATGAGCGACTGGTTGTATAATTTCAGGGCATAATCGAGTAAATGAGTCATATAGACTTTCATTGTCTGATCGATTATGATATTATAATAAATTACATCTTTTATTTCACGTAATAAACAGACATCAAACCAATAATTCATTTTAGACAATATGCATATATGACATACATTTGAAAAAAAACTATTGATATACTAGTAACCTATTGATACTTATGTTCAGTCTCTATTATGTAAAATAAGGACATACAATTACTTTTTTATGACAAATTAAAGTAGTTGCGTTTATAATATTTTGTTGTTAAGTTACTTTTCACGTCTTTTCTATCAAAATATCCAAATATGAAACAAATGTATTGGTCTTTCTACTGAAATATATTGGGTGGTCATAGGAAAGGAGGCTATGAGTTTTAATTGTAAATATGTCGCCTTTTACTCGGATCTAAATGTCGAGTTGGAGGCCACAACATGAATTTTCTACTCACCAAAGTTTTTTTTCAAGGGTGCAATTACATGGTCGCCGGAAGCAAATGGAAAGTGGGGGGGGGTCGAAATTAGGGTAAACTAATTCATTAAGGTAATTTCCAATTTTCTATTCCTATATAATGTATTTTTATGCAAAAAGGGGGGACGCTCCCCTACCCCCAGGTTCCAACGCCTATGAAAGATCTATGGGAATTCCGACAGATTGTTGGAAGACCTGATCTACAAAAACCATAATGTTCATAGATTTTGTCAATCAAAAAATCTCAAGCATCTTTTAATACCCATTTCCGAGTACCTGTGTATGATCAGGATATGTTTTTATAAAATTGCATACATTTTTGGTAGCATTTCTCAAATGTTCCAGAAAATTTTAATGAACTATGTTATATTGTTTTTATTACATACTTAGTTTAAAGTCATCATTTCGTAAGTTCTATGGTCGATACAATGACCTTGTCAGCAAATACAGTTTATCATTGAATCAAATGCTGACTGGTATTTTTCATACCAATTGTTAGTCCATTATTTATACATTGAATTGAGGACGGATTTTTCCCGTTATTTCCTGATCATGAGAAAGAGCACAAGGCGGGTGTGACCGGTCGGCAGGGGATGCTCACTCCTCCATGGCACCTGATCCCACCTCTGTTTTTTCTGGGGTCCGTGTTTGCTCTGCTCTTATTATGTATTGTTTTATGGAATTTGAGATTGAATACTGTTTGTTATCTCCATATCCTTCCTTAGTAATAAATATAGGATTTTTGCATATGCGATATGGCTGATGTCCGAAACTGTGTGAGACAAAAGACTGTGTACATTTTTAGAAGTCCATGCATGATAGTTTACTTATTTTCTTCTCAACTTAATGTGTTCTGTATTTTATTACTTAGTGTGTAATAAATATAAATAATAATAGATATAATAAAACATACCCTTTTCCACATCACATCGAGACACCAAAATCAGCCAGAGGGCCGAAGGATGTGATGTGGAAAAAGGTATGTTATATTCTCTATTTATTGTAGTTCTGTGCATTATTTTTTTCGAATCATACGCATTCTCTTGCCAGAAGTATGATAAGATAAAAATGCACTTAAAAAAATTACGCATTTTGAATTTATACTCGGTTAATATTGTTGCAAATATAAACCGAAGATATTTATTTTATATATATAAAATACTTATATATGAGAAATGCTACCAAAAACTTTTTTCTTTGTCCTGAGGAAGGGACAGGGCGTCCCGAAAATTTGACAATTTTTATTGTTCGTGTCGTTGGTCATTTTTAGTGCTTTATATATATATATATATATATATATATATATATATATATATATATATATATATATATATATATATATATATATATATATATATATATATATATATATATATATATATATATATATATATATATATATATATATTATATATCCATTGAAAACTTGGCTTACCTTTTAAAGTCACCTGAGTTAACTCAATCTCGAATATAATCGCTGGAAAGTTGTTACGTGATACTCAGGTGACCTATAAGGTCCGTGAGATTCTTGTTTTGGTTTAGCCTCAAACCCTCTTTCAATTTGCCACCGACACTCTAGGGAAGATAGAAAAACAGGCTGAGAGACTTGCTGTCTTCTCCTCGTTCTTGATGAGGGTAATTCAATTCCAGGGACTTTAGAAAATTACTTATTTTAAAAATTTATGCTCTATATTACTAAAATCTAAGTCCAGATTTTTTTTATTTTTTACATTTATTTCATAAGTGCATTGAGCGTCAACATGGTACATATGTAGAAGATGTTGATGTACATTACTAACGCACTTGAAAACAAATCGCTTGTGTTGCGTTGAGTTTGTCTCAATTTTAAAATGTTTAACGCTCTTTGAAAAATTCAAAGTAAGATGCCCGATGGTACATGTAATTATGTTCCCCAAACGAAGTTTGGGAACATATTGTTTTTACTTTTTCTGAATTTTTTCTTTGTTCTCCGGTACTTTTTTGTCCGCGAGTGTTCTCGTAAACTACTCATCCGATCTAGGTGAAACCTTTTTAGGGTCAATTGGTATGTTATTTAGATGTGCGGAACGAAGGTCATTTTGCACGCACGTGTGTGCATGTGCGCGCACGTGTAACACGTGACATGACCAATATAATAGATTTAGCCGTAATTTTTTTAAATATTGGATGAAATGCTTTGAAACTCATAATACAGGGATATAATAGTAGTATAGACATGATGACATGGTCAAAATAGCAAGATCTCACGCGCATGCAGGTGCCCTTCGCTGCGATTGGCTGAAACTAAAAGTCTAAATATCTATTTTGTTTTCTGACAAAATCCTTTGAAATTTTTAACATAGTCTTACATTATGAAGATCTACAGCATGATATATAAGAATAATCATGAACGCACGCACATGCACGTGCGCTGCAATCTGATTTGCTAAAACTTTAAATGCCTAAAACTTTATTGGTTCTCAAAAATACAGGGTGAAATTTCAAATATGAATAGATACAATGATTGCCTACATTATACTACTATCAAAAGTAAATGCATGGACGTGCATGCACATGCGACCACACACAATGTATCAAAAGACAGTATACTTGAACGTTTGATGTTCATGCAGAATTAAGAACTTCTAAATGTCAAGACATGTAAGATACTGAAGCATGCAGGTCTTTTTACCCTTGACCTTGAAACTTAGGTCAAGGTCACTGGTAACCTGAATAAAATGTTGATATTAGCTATTAACCAAAATCACCTTGACCTATGAACTTGAATTCGACCATAACCTTTGTCCTTGACCAAAGGGTAAAAAGAAACATGAAGTACATGTATCTAGAAACACCTTTCAGAGTTTATTTCGGTTGACAGGTTAGAAGTTAAAGAGGTGGTGGTTTTTTAATGACCTTGACCTTTCATCCAAATGTCACAATCAATCTTGAGTTCTTGGAATAAGATACAAGATTCAACTCCAACGTTAAATAGGTTAAGAATAAAAATAACCCCCCATCCCCCCACAAAAATATCAAATTAATGGCAACGTAGAGAATCACTGTAAAACTCAAATAACACCTCGGAACCACATAAAATTTCAGGAAAACTGCAGAAAAGAGCTCGAGGAAAGTGTATTAAAATATTTCATTTGAGTTTCCAAAGTATACAGAAATTATTAATTTATACAGAAAAAATTACAAATCCTGCCGTCTTTAAAATTAAAGTGCAGATGACCAAAGTTGCCATATAAGCCTTTTATAGCCTATTTATTCAAACGTCGTTAATAGCATTCAATTCTTCTGATTTGAAATAATATTTTCATATCAAGAATTTTTTGTTTAATTTACCTTTGAAATTTATTTGAATTTTTTTTTATAATTACGCAATCCCGAGAAATAGCGATTTTCGATATATTAAAAATCAATATATATGTACGCTCCTTTGTAAAATAATCAGATATTTGCATTCATGAAAAAAATATTAATAAGAAGGTGTTTAACAATATAGATCACATTAGCTGACACGAATGTCTTTTTAAACATCTCTTGTATAACCAAGAGAGTAGCCCCCTATGCATTTGAAAAAATGAATAGTTCCGGTCAAAAAACCTTTATATATTTATTTACAAAGTGTATAAAAATTACCAGGCACAGGTATCAGAGTTGTCAAAATTGCCTGAGAGGAAATATTAAAAAAAATTCTGAACAGAAAGAAAAATCCCTTTTCAATGTATGGAACTAGTATTGAATAAGTTCATTTTGATTGGTTAGGTCGACTTTAACCCTGCCTTGTCGTCGGAATAAAACCAACTTTGAGCCCAAGGTTAAAATAAGTAGAGAAATAAAATGTGAATCGATACATTAAAAATATGACATATGGTTGAAAAATGGTAAATTTATATATGTATTTTTTCTTTGATTTGCGGGATAGAAAGATATGTTAATCGCTTAATCAACATGCCATAATCATCTTGCATATGCATTTACATGTACCTGTGCGCGCATGCAAAACGTTAAACAACATATCGTTGATAGTTGATATCATTGTAACTTTTATATTCTTAAATGAAATCCTGGGATACTTAGCATATAAATAAAAGGTCATAGAGGAATAAGGCACGATAAGGGACATGGGGAGCGTTTGGGGAACATCTGTAACGGTCACCGTTACAATTAGCACTAGTTGCTAATGAAACGAACAGGTTATTCCTTGTTTTTCTTTTAACGGTTAGAATTAACCTCAGTACTGTACAAGTCACTGTTTCAAAAAAGATGGAATACTCAATGCCATGTTGGGGTCATTCGAAGAGAAGCATTCACAGGGGAAAAAAAATTCAATGTAGTCTTAAAACCGGTCGTGGATAACTGAACGGGTATATGGTACACCGTGACGAATCGAAATTGTTAGTACCTGACAATGGGCTAAAAGCGTATTTTACCATTAAATAATCTGAAGTATTATTTCAAAAGAAAGTGTCGCCTAGGTTGTGCAGTGGTTAGTTCGTCTGCTCTGGAGTCGCGGGTTCGAATCCCATTGTGGGACATGGAGACATGTCCTTTGGATGAGACCGTATAAACCGAGGTACAAAAAAATCCCTCCCTGCTCTTTGCCCTGAGAACGGAGTATAGGCCAAAATTTGTAACTCTTTACCAGCAAGTGGTGGCGACTCCATATGAGTGAATATTTCTCGAGATGGATGTTTAACAATCAAACAAAAAAAAAAAGCACAATGAAAGAGCATTTCTCATTTAAATTTTATAAACGTACAAAATATACTTTATAACTTCAGTAAGTTTAGAAACTTAGAACTGAGAATAATTCAATTTTATAATTGCATAATTTTGGGTTCTCCCTTATTCTCCCAAACAAAACATTCTTGATTTCAAAAGATAAAGGCACATCAATATTTTTAATTCATAATAACAGGATCCATAGCTGCATCAAAATACACGATGTACACTTTATAATTTTAAGAGGAAATTAATACTAGATATAGTACCTGGTTTTGATTTTATTCATACTAAAGAAATAACTCTAACTATTATGAGTAATGTTCCAATTGTTAAATGCCACTTCACCATACTGCCATTGCACAGTAATCTCATTCAAAATCTGTAATCAGAAAAATATAAATGCTGATTAATTTAAATGCCTTATTAAAAAGAAACAAATACACAGAACGCAAGACCCGAATAAACTGCCTAATGTTTCGTCCTATCCGATTGTTTAAGACTGCATTTACAAAAGTATATACAATGGAGGTATGTTTGACCAAAACATTACTTCAGATTTTCTCATTGATAAATTGACAGCGATGTGTTGAGTAACACTATCTGAAGGTTGTGGGAATAGTATGGGTATTTTTGTGTGACTATTCGGTATAAGTGACGGAAATGATTCCGAATGTAAGAAGATGTCTTCTAGTACTTGCGCTTCAGGTCCTCATTTTTATTGGTAAGCTTATGTTCATGTTAGATGAGTAAGAATCCTTCAGAATTTGAAATTTCCATTCACATGATTTATGTGTTGTTTGCTGATTTTTGTTTGAGAATAATACAATGTATTCATGTGCAATTTTTTTCTTAATTTTCTTTCCTGTTGGTATCATAACTGAATACCCCCTCTCCCTAATCTTAAGCTATTTTATGATAAGATAGAAACATGAATTGGAAAATCCTGAAATATTTCGTCGAATTGATAACTAGTTTAAACCCATTTTAGTAGCAGACAAGTTAATCTGACGTGTAGTTAAATATACTTCAATAAACTATCTAGTCTTGATAGATTTTTACTCTTACGGTTCTTATTATAAGTCTGTCCGACTTGGTAATACAAAATCCTGTTCGTATATTGATCAAGTCTATAATAGGAGTACAATTCTGGGAGTACATCTCTCCACTTTTGTAGTATCGTACCCTTCAAGTACGTATATTCAGCCTTGTAAGAATAATATACCTATATAAATCAATCGCTTTGTCAACTTAAAAAAGCAGAGAATGTTTGTCAAAACTTATTGCAAGAAAATTCTAAGGGAAGTTGTTCTTCCAATCTTAGTGACATAAAATCGGAGACCTTGTCCAGACATGGTAAAACAATTATAAGAATAAATTTGTACATCCTTGATAAAATAAAATTCTGAAAAGTTTGTCCAAGCATCCTTGGTAGAATAAAAATTTCAGAATTATTATTAAAATGTAAACACTGTTTCATTTCATAATAAGATTCGTCTATTAATCAATGTAAAGTAGTGTCCTCTACAAAAAAAATTAATTTTTCAATTAAAATTTGTTTCATAATATACAAATTTTAATTGGAAATTCAAATTTTTGTATAGGTAAGTAGAAAATGTATATTTCAAGTAAAATTGAATTAAGATACTTAGTAAATGATCTATAGATTTTCTTTTAAACCCATTTTGTTATTAATATCTAAAGAATGAGACTATATGTAAGTTTGTAAGAGTCCATGAATGAAAGTAGTTATAATGTAAAAAAAAAAACCAACTCATAAGCTGTTTTAATTTTAAACCAATTGCGATATTGGGAAATATATATATATATATATATATATATATATATATATATATATATATATATATATATATATATATATATATATATCAGATAAATTATAATTTTTCTTCAAAAGAAAAAAAAGAAATTAAACTCTTCGTACTACATAAAAAAAACTTGTCTTCTCTTCGTTTTCTTCGCTCTAGGAAGAAGGAAAATCTGAGAGAATTTTTGTGTAAACTTTTTAGAATAAAACGAAGAGTTTTGTCGAATCGTTGTACAACTGATAAAATCCTGAAAGATAATTTGAACATATTACAATGGTTCTAAGTATATAAAGAAATGCTTGTGTTATTATTATTGATGGGGGTTTAAAGATAAGAATAAAATTCTTTGAAAATTTTTTCTCAACATTACTATTTTCATAAAACTGAAGAAATCATTGAAATGAATGTCACTTTTCCCTTTGGAATCTTACGAACATCATCTTTTATACAATCGCTTATTTTAAATATATATCTTTAATCATTGATATAAATTGCATTTTTGTCACATGCAGTATTTTGTAAAAGATTTTAACTAAGGTGAAATATTTATAAATTATATTGCCTCTTAGGTACTCAAGCATCCATGGAGTTAAAAAACTTAACGGCTTGCTATGGAATTACTGGATTAGCTAACTTTCTACAACCTTCCTGTCCTGGTGGACAGAAAATAGCCGTACGAGCCTTGTACACCTTAGCGAAGTACAAATCATCTGGTTGTCCTCAGGAGCAGACGACATCAGCCATCGATCCCAGCTGTTGTGAATATGATGTCAATGACTGTTCTTATTTCTATGACTTGGGGTCATATCGTGCATACTATCAGAGCTGCAATGGAGAATCATCATGTACTATACCGGTGTCTTGGATAGACTTGCCAACCTACTGCAATAAATCTGTGTACATTGAAAGAACACACTATATGAAAATGGATTATTATTGTATATCTGGTATGTACTGTACAGCACTTTTTGTACATACAGTTAACTATCTCTAGTTTGTAAAGCTACTAACAACTTATTTAATTTACTATAGATTTATGAAATATTATGTATTTCTTTACCTGTTTCATTTTTTTTCTATCATCCAACTGTAGATCAAGCTTTAGATCCATGTTCTGATCTCACAACAACTGATTCTCCCGCCTTTTTCTGGAATGCTGGATTTCCGTCGGAAATGACGTCAGCAATCACTTCCTGCTCATGCTCCATTGAGTTGTCCTGTGAAACAACAGTCCAAATTACAGCCCTTGATCTAAAGTAATATAAGATCAAAAAAAATTTAGTAAATGAATGATGAATTAAGAAGAGGGATTATATAATTACATAACTGGAATAACTTTACCAATTAGTTTTTAATTTGTAGAACTAAGTAATGAATATCATATTTGTTAACAAATGAAACGCTGAAGTAATGAACATCAAAATTAAATAGAAAAATAATGATACAAGAAAGGGTTGATTTAATATATACAGAGCCTTTAAAAACGTTCATAACAAAATAATAAAATTACTCATTATATAGATCTGTAATCATTCCGCAATACCTGACTAAAAATGTCGTAAATATGGATTCCTTTCCAATTATACTGTTAAATTATATATTTCGATATTTTCTTCCTTTATAGTTTCAAAGACGTTGGGAACTGTAAACAGTCCATGGAAATCACCGATGATTCTTTGTCTGTTACCTTGGACTGTTCTAGTAACAATGACTACCTGCCAAAGGTTCTTTACACAAGTTCTGGTCACTTTATTACCATTAACTTCGTCAACAACCTTGGCACGACTGGAGGAAAGTTTTTCATACAAATTCAAGGTATTGACGTCACCTTAAGTAATCTACATTTTGAAAAAAATCGGATTTCTTAGATCCGCTCCTTATATTAGGAATAAATCGTTCACTAGAGTGGTTTAATCAAATATTGTACCAGGCTTCAATGCTGTGAACTCTGTCTGACTCCACCATTTTTAGGTATTGGATTATAGAAATGAAATTAATGCAGAAAGTCACATCATTTCAATTAAATCACAGTTCGATTAATAACATTGAAAGGATTTAAATCGCCTAAAAGAAGGCATAATATGTATACGAGGCTCGCAGCATATCGGATAAATCGATTTGGTGTTGTTTTGGTTGCGTTGTTCAAGGCAACTTCATTCGGTAAACCATCTCTAAATTCTTCATTTATTTCTTTGTTTTCAAGGATTAAACCCGACTGGACAAATTACTTTATCCTGTGGTACATCAGCTTTATCAACGCCTTCAGTGGCTCCCAGTAGCCTTGCTAAATGTCCCATCGACGGAGAGACAACCAGTACTAATTCTACTGACCAGTCAACCACCATTCTAACTTCAACAGCCATTAATTCAACTCTTACGTCAACGACCAGTATTTCAACAACAGTCGAGATATCAACCATTAATTCAACTTTATTATCCACGGAATCCTCAGCATTCTCTTCAACAGACAATTCAACGGAATCAACCACTGACACCTCAAACATATCAACAATCATTTCAACTATATCGACAGACACTTCTTCTATTAATGTTGATACAACTCTAAATGATAATGTTACCCTGTATTCAACAGAGTCAGCTACGAATTTGAGTTTATCCACATTCAGTATGTATAACAATTTGTTTAGATCTATACCGGTATACATGCACCTTACACTTTGTAATTAGCATTTTGGCAAATGTGACATTGCATTTTTTTCTGATTATTTAACGAAAGCCTCCAGTTGGCGCTTAATTTTGCTAAAATAAGTAAAACAGATTAATTTAGATTGTACAAGTGGTATTCTTAAAATGCAGAAAAAATTCGCCCCTGAATTACATGTAATTATGTGAAATTTATCTTATATGTCATGTGATAGAACATATGGTTTTGTTAAGTGATGCGTGTGTTCTTACGTATAGATCTATTTAAATACAAACTGGTGGTATTCATTTATATTTTTTGATAAAATTGACTTTAAGAACAATTTCACTGATCTTTATCTATTCCAAACATTTCTCATTCAGATACCTCAGATATGACACCCGAGTTCACAACTCTGAGCTGGGTTAGCACTGAAAACTACTCCACAGCTCCCACGGATGTCAACGTCACTTCCTGTTGTTCCCAACCTTCCCATGAAACCGAAGACACCCGTGAGTAGGAAAAATTAAAGAAACAAACTTATCATCTATTGAACTTCCTAATTAAAAAAATAGATATGAATACTAGTATATGATGAACCTTAATTTAAATTTAAGGAAAGCAATGAAGTTTGAGAAAGTTATTAATGTGCAAATCACAGACTTGCATGGAAGGCTTCAGTAGATATGCCTGTGTGACAAGTTTGTGTAATAATCCAATCGATAAGTCTACATGTATTAAACAAATTCCTTTTTCTAGGAGTCAATCCATGACATCAATTATATCTCATTTAGAAATGTAAATTCAATTTTTTGAAATTGTATTGCGAAATAAGTATGGGTTGGTTCTTGCTCAATACATCCAATAAGTGGAAAGAATGGGATGTAAGTGTTTTGAAAAAATGATACTTTACTTATTCACTAAAGCATCTTACTTGAATGCATATGATTTTAAAATTTATGTACGGATAAAAAAAATTGTAATTTTAACTTAAAATACAATATAAACTTACAATGAATGATAGATTTTCCATTTTAACTTCAATATTTCAGCTGTCTATATCATTGTTGTTGTGATACTGGTGGTCATCCTAGCAGTAGGGGCTCTGATTCTGTTTTATAAGGATAGAATAAAGGAATGCTGCTGCGCAAAAAAGGTTGGTTGGAAAATAAAATCCATCAAATATACGCAATTGGCAAAGAGAAAGGGTATAATTATTATATATACACAAAAAATATCACAGAATTTCATCAACTCATACTAGTAATTTGTATTCACCTGGGACTTTGGTGAATTATTTATTAATATACTGGTATAATTTAGTTCTACAATGTAGAAAAAGTAGAAGGAAAATAAAAACAGAATTATTATAACATATTGCAAATTCTCTTTTCTTTTAGACCAAAGGTGATGTTGAAGACAACAATAATGAAATTAATCCCGTATTTCAAGTCAATCTGTCTGAGCATTCTAAGTTCCAAGCACTCCCTCCAATAAGGCATGAGTTTAAAATGAAAACAGATTATTTAGACAACCCAACCCCGATTACACGTGAGCATGGGCTATTTCTAAAAGCTCAAAAGCGCCAGAACAACATAATTAAAAACAGGTTATCGGAAAAATCATGGAATACAGGTAAAAGTGAACAAATCAAACCAGAAAATATACAAAAGAAAAAGATCAAACCTGGTAAAAAGATAAAAGAAGTTAACTTTGAAAGAGCCAATAACTTGCAAACAGGAGATTTAAGTAAAGGTGAAAGAAATAGCGGAACGGGACAAGGGCAAAAACAAAAGGGTAGAAAAACAAAATGGAGAAAAAGAAAAGGGAATAGAAAAGTAGCACAAAAAGACGATGTGATAGACGATATGGGAACAAATTCTTCTGTGCCAAATTCGACTTTAGGAGTAACATCCCCCTCTACTGCAAGGCGATCCTCTGTGAGTGCTACTATTGACATTGTTGATGATGAAGGGCAGCTGGAGAAAAGCGTTTTAATAGATAATGTTGTAGAAGATCTCTTCAGTGGAAATATGACAAATGAGTATCAATAGAGTAGTTAATATATATATATGTCGACATTAATCTTAAGGGTGTATACATGTGTGCATATTGCAGAAGAGTAATGTAAAAAGTGTTTAACAGCTCTGTTGGTTTTTATTCATTTTTTTTACGAATCAAATGTTTTATTTCGATAATTTAAATGTCCCTAAAATAACATGAACAATGCATTCACTTTTATCACATTCAATTGTTTTATGGCTTAAAAATAACCACTGAAATTTCTGATACGTTCTCATTCTGTTTTATAAATACATGTAAATCCAGGTCTACAGTATTGATTTTAAGGGGGAAAAAATCTTGTTGATAAGTAAAATGATAACATGCTCTTTGGCACATTTCTAAACATCTTTAATTTACCATACGGAGGGTAATTTGAATCAAAAATAAAATATTCAAGAAAATGAAAAAAAAAATCTCCGTTGCAAAGGGATGACACATCAATTTTAAATCAGAATTCTATCATGACTCCTAACACTATACGATGTGAACACCTTGAGAATTTAGGTACATTGACATTACATGGACCGTTTCTAACTCGTAACAAAGTTTCAATCTAATTTATTTTTAAGGATTGTTAATACAAACAAATTTATTCTTTGGAGGAGACTGAATATCAAGCCACAGGGTTAGAAAGTGGATAATTCTCTGATTTTTTTTTCTCTTAGGACGTGGAAAATGAAATAGACTAGGAAAATATTAGTTAAAACAAATATAAATAAATCACACTCACTGAGTCAGTTAAGGTTTACAGATGAAAACAAATTTCAGAATATGTTAGATTGGTGCTCAAAGTGTAAAATTATAAACTTAACAAAAATATCCTAAGTCAGGTTAATTTTATAAGGAAGGCAAACAAGTGAAAGTCAGAATAATCACATAGGCTGATTTTCACCACTTTGAAATTCCTTGTAAAATTCATCTGGCCTGATATATTATTTTAAAGTATATATTAACAGTTTTAACACAAAGCTAACATAATCTGAAATATGTTTTCATCGGAGAATTACCTGCCCCTGTCATGGTGGGCAGTGTTTTTCACGAGCAGAGCAGATAGATGTAAATAATTAGAAACCGAGTGTGGGTAGATGAAAGTTATCGGTTGTAAGTTATCGTAGTTGTCATGTATTACTATATATAACTTTATCGCATGTAGTATGGTGATATTGGACTGACTTTTGCAGTAAATGCATTGTTTGTTTATGAGTTGAACTCACCATAGAGGCATTGAACAGCTGGAAAATCTAAACTGATATTGAACACATATATCGCCATTATTTTTGCTCTATGTTATATCATTAACTTTGCCATTATATCTAATCAAATCATAATGAGTATCAAAGACTCATCAAACAAAAGGTGTATCAGTGAACTTTCGCTTGACATGTCAAGATCATTCAGTGATGTGATCCAATCAACAAAGAAGTCTCGGGATGGCTCATTGTCAGACCAGATTCACGAACAGGAGCCTATTCCTACTCAAACATCTACTCCTGAAAATATCAAATGTGTTACAGGTGACCTAAGTGAGCAACAACATCATGTTTCTCAGTACCCCACCCCTCAACTGGTAGTATCAGGGCCTATCACAATTTGTAGTGAGGATATACAAAAGATAGCAGAAAGTGTTAAAGCCTTACTTAGTACTGACTTAGCCTCACTCACATCTGAAATACAAGGTATTATTAAAAGTGAAGTACAGAAAGCAACTGAGCCCCTGCAAGAAAAAATTAAAAACCTTGAACAACAAAACAAAGATTTGTTCCTTAAAGTTGATGAACTAGAGCAATATGGTCGCAGACCTTTAGTTCGAGTGTCTGGCATACCCGAAACGATGAACGAAAATACATCGGACAAAATCATGGGTGCCGTTACAGCCGCCGGTATTCCTCTTCAGCGGGAGGATATTATTGTATCTCATCGAGTTGGAAAACGTGATCCCAACCGAACACGCCCTAGACAAATAATTGCCCGATTAAAATCTGTGGATCTCAAATTCCATCTTGTCAAAAATTCAAAAAAGTTCGCAGAAATTGATGAGACAGCTGGCATTACCATTAACGAGGATCTAACGAAGTATCGTGACAAGATCATGTTCCTGGGCAGACAACTCTGTCGAAATCGCAGGATAAAATCAGTGTCGTCCTCCAATGGCAAGATCAAAATATACGATCGGAACAATGATTCTCATTTTATTCGAGAAGAGGCAGATCTAGTACCCTTTGGACACGAAATGACAATCGATTAAAATGTTACAAAAATACAATTGGTAATCTGAAATGCTTTAAATAAATTTTGGACACAAACTTTCCTCCCACACCAGTTTTTTTTCTCTTTTTTAGAACTCATGTAAAATGAACTGCATCAGTTTATGTCTTTTGTTCTATGCAGTTCAACTTACTTGTACATTTCAAGACTTAGAGGTTCAATCAACCTCAATCTTTTTTGATGCAAAAATATCCTGTAAAAAGTATTGTGTGTACAACACAATGTTTGTATATATTTCCTACACACAATATTCCTGTTTCCTGTTTCTTTGTTTTGTTATTATTCTCAATGTATATTTCTTTGTTCATTTTTTTGTTGTATTATTTTTTTGTGTTACACTTTATAATCCTTACAACTTCAATTGTCATGCTTCATGTATTCCGCTGAATTTACCAAAATCTGTATTTTTTGTCCCATCTCTTATGTTATTCTTATGCAAAAACACCATTGCAGCACCTTTTTTATTTCCTACTGTACACTTTCACCAAATTTTAGACAATGGGTGACTCTGTTGAACAATACCGTGCTGCAATCGGTCTTTTTTATTTATCCTGTAGAGGTGTATGCAAGTCTTACTCATTCCATATCTCGGTTTGTGAATTTTTATCGCGCGTTCTTTATAGTATGATCAAAACATTACTTAGAAGTACGATACGGTTTAAAAAAAACTTAGTGTATATCAACTTTTACTTGCAGTTGTTTACGTTTATATTATTAGCCTGTGGTGATATTGAGGTCAATCCAGGACCCACTATCGAAAGTGTCCTTGACATTTTGCATCTAAATATTCGCAGTATAAGAAACAAATTAGGCTATTTGAACTCATTCGTCCATGACTTTGATATATTGTGTTTTACTGAGACCCATCTTGACCATACCATATCGAATGATAATCTATTATTAGATGGTTTTAGTAATACAATACGAAAAGACAGAAATTGTTTTGGGGGAGGTATTATGATATATTTTTCAAATCAAATACATGTAACAAGACGACAAGACTATGAACCAGCTAATTTAGAGTGTATTTGGTTAGAAATCGAAAACCGTACCTGCAAATACTATCTGTGCTGTATTTATCGACCTCCAAATGCTGATGCCATTTTCTGGACTAAACTTTCATGGAGTTTAGACAAAGTAGGAGAATCCTCGAGTAAAATCATAATTGTTGGTGATATAAATGTAGATTTGTTAAATACTCCTCAAACACACATAATACGTGAAATAGTTTCAAATTCCAATCTTGTCAATAACATCCACGTACCGACGAGAATTTCTAACAATACACGCACGCTTCTTGACCCAGTTTTCACTTCAGCTGATATTCAGGTACATGATTCGGGTGTCCTTGAAATTGACCCAGCTTTTAGTGATCACAAAGCAACTTATATTGCACTAGCCTCGAATATAAATTATAATCGCGCTTACGAAAGAAAAGTATGGGATTATAAGAATGGTGACTTTGATAAATTAAATTCCTTAATACAAAATTGCGACTGGGATAAATATATCAATAAAGCCGACAATATAGAGGCAGCTACCGACAATTTTTCAAATAAATTTCTCTCTTGTGTTAGACAATCTTTCTGTGAAAAAACAATTACTATTCGTCCACGAGATAAACCTTGGATGGACTCCATTCTGCGTAAAACTCTAAGACTTAGAAATAGATTACGAAATAAGGCATTAAGAACGAAGAAAGATTCGGATTGGGCTGAATTCAAAAAAGTTCGGAACACGTTCAATAACATGAAAAAATATGCTATAGCTAATTACTATGACAATATAGAAATGCACCTAGTAGACGCAAACAAAAACAACAACAAATTATATTGGAAACTAATGAAGGACGCATTTAATGTTAAATCATCCAATGATATCCCTCCATTACAAATTACTACTGATAATGGGAAAAATAGCTTAGCCTTTTCTGATCAAGATAAAATTGAAGCACTCAACAGTTATTTTTCATCCATTTCATGTATTGATGATAAAAACCATAGTCTACCACAAATCTACTCTTCATGTAGTGATAATCTTAGTAATATCATAATTGATGAACAAGAGGTAGTTGACATTATTTCAATAATTCCTGTTAATAAAGCCACAGGTCCCGACTGCATCAGTCACAAAATGCTTAAAAATACCGTTTCTACTGTTTCAAAACCATTGACTATGTTATTTAATAAATCACTGTCAGAGAATGTTTTCCCGTCCATGTGGAAAGTAGCTCATGTATTACCTCTCTTTAAAAAGGATGATCCGTCTTTAGTGTCTAACTATAGGCCTGTGTCGTTGTTAAGCTGCGTTAGCAAAATTATGGAGAGAATTATTTTCAAACACGTGTATAATTATTTTCATTATAACAATTTATTTTATCGACATCAGGCGGGTTTTTTACCTGGTCACTCTACAGTGTACCAACTTCTAGAAACTTATCATAGTATTGTGCAAAGTATAGACGAAGGCAAATCGTGTTGTATGGTTTTTTGCGATTTATCTAAAGCATTCGACAGAGTATGGCACAAGGGTCTTCTTTTCAAATTACAAACGTATGGAATATCTGGGGATCTTTTACTGTGGTTTACAAGTTACTTGAGAAATAGATCACAAAAAGTTATGTATAAAGATCTGCTATCATCCAACCTCAATATATATGCAGGTGTGCCTCAAGGCTCAGTTCTAGGTCCTCTTTTATTTTTGATATATATTAATGATGTTGCTGAAAATATGCTTACAATGTGTAGATTATTTGCTGACGACAATTCACTGCAACATGCATCATATAACGTACTAGATATAGAATACAGGTTAAACCATGATCTTGATGTTTTAGATAAATGGTCGAGTAAATGGCTTTTAAGATTTAATCCAGCAAAAACAAAGGTTGTATTTTTTTCTTTAAAACATAGACCTGTTTTACCTAACTTGTATTTTCAAGGTAATGTGCTGGAGTTTGTATCGGCGCATCGCCATTTAGGTATATTGTTGTCACAAAATCTCAGCTGGTCTGAATATATAGATGGTATTGTAAATAATGCTTATAAGAAATTGGGGTTATTGAAGAAGTTGAAATTTTCAATCGGTAGAAAAAATCTTTCTCTTTTGTATACAACATTTGTAAGACCTACACTTGAATATGCTTCAATTGTCTGGGATGGTTGCTCTTTATCTGATGTAGAAAAACTTGAAAAAGTACAATTAATGGCTGCTAGAATAGTTACTGGTCTTCCGATACTAGCTTCAAGAGAATCACTCTATTTTGAAACAGGATGGGTACCTTTGAAAAACCGTCGTTACCAATCTAAAATGATTACAATGTTCAAAATTAATAATTGTAATGTACCGGAATATATACAAGATATAGTCCCAAAGAAACGAGAACACACGTCAAGATACAATACACGAAATAAGGATCAATTAACTATCCCAAGGGGCAGGTTAGAAATATTTAACAAATCGTTTGTACCTGATGCAGTCAAAAAATGGAATTTATTGAATACAGATACAAGGGAAGCCATCTCAGTCAATTCTTTTCGTAAGATTATAAGTGATAATAATCCTAAAGCACCATCATATTTTTTGTTTGGTAAACGTATTAACAACATTATTCATACTAAATTAAGGCACAACTGTGTATTGAACCAAGACTTATTCAAACGTAATATCATTGATAATCCCTATTGCTCTTGTGGTAAACAGGAAGATGCCTATCATTTTTTCTTTGTCTGTAAAAAATACTGTAATGCTCGAAGTAATCTTTTTGACTATCTTTTTAGACTTGATTTAAACATCATAGATGTACACCTACTGCTATGGGGCAACGAAAATCTCTCAATCGAAGTAAACATTGGCATTTTTGCCGCTGTTCATAAATTTATAAATGAATCCTGTAGATTTAGCTAGATATATTATTGAACCTTATTTGTACAAGTTTTTGCTACTATTTTGCATGACAATTATTATGTGTTTTTTAAGGAGAAGAACTAGTAAGTTGTTAGAACTTGTTTCTTATCCTTTTGCTTGTCAATAAAATATGTTCAAAACAAAACCTGAGACAATATCAAGTCTCCTCCAAAATAAAGAAAATTATCAACTGTCCTTAAAAGAGGAAAAATTATTCAGTCTAGGTGTTTGCTAAAGGTGCTCATAGACAAATAATAATTCATACATAATAAATCCTAAAATTGCCGTAAAATTTATATGCAAAATTTGTTATCCGTCGTACAGTGTACCTTATGTGAATCTTTTTGAAGATGAAAAAAAAGAACACTTTCACTTGTAAAATTTAAATTTCAAATATCGGGTAAAAAAAATAGCTGAAAGATATATTCAAATCTAGTACTTGTTTGCCTTTTCTTTCTAAAAACGATGGAAAAGGGATACATGTACACTTTTAATTACTTCATCACCAAACCCTCAACTTTCAATTGGCAATTCGTGACAATTTTATATCTTACTAAAAAATTCTATAGCTTCCAAGTGCAAAAACAATCAATTCAACAGTAGTTCCATTTTCATATATTTATTATTAAGCGTACAATGTAATGAATTCTGAGTTTCATCATCAGGTGACAAAACATTATCATACACGGTATGTACAGTACATTGATAATCAATAAATGCATTTCATACATCTAGACATTCACAAACAATATCTACATTTTCTACAATAGACAGAATTTTGTTGAATTTGTTATTTACACCAATTCTTTGCTTATCAATAAATTTTAAAAACCTTTCATTAAGCCGCTGAAATAATGTCCTTGCTACTTTCTATCTCTCACAAGGGATAACGGCAAAGTATGTAGTAACACCCTTTAGGGGTACATGTATGGCTTTCTTTAAGTTAAATCCTTCTTTTCTGCAAGGCTAAAACTTTGCAAGTAATAGTTATCGACCTTGCTTGTATGATACTTAAAATATCTGAAACAAATGTATAAGAAAATTCCAGAAATGTATTCAGCCAAAACAAAAAACAAAATTAAAAAAAAAGTAAGAAATCAAAATCTAATAACATATTTTATAATTCTATGAAAATTATTGAAAGAAGGTTCCTTTTTTTTTCAACTTCTGTTAATTATAAAAAAAAAAAACCATACCATACACAACATTCCTTTTACAGAAGAAACGTTTCTGATATCACAGAATTAAAGATATCACAATAATCACATTGAAGAATTTTTACTCAACATTTTGTACAGTCACATCAACAGAATACAACATTAAATTGTATTACAGTGAAACATGTATTATTCTACTCTTGGTCGGAATGATCAAAAAGTCTGAAAAATTTGGGACAAAGTTTCTGGAAAAAATAGACTGGTTCATGAATGCAAAAACTACATGTTTACATTTGTCAGCAAATGTAATATAAGCAAGCATACATTGTTACAGTAGTGGTTAACATACAAAATCGAATATAATACAAAATGATTTAAACATATCACATTAAATGCATAAAATAAAAAAAAACCTTGAAAGCACACAATAATAATTGCAATCTTAAGTAGGCGAGACATTTCCTCAACAATGTATTCTAGCAATAAAAAAATTCTACTATGAGGCAGTGAAAACATTCCTGAATCCGTAATCACCATACAATACTGCATTGTAAAGGCCAACTGTGTGCAACAGATATACTATGATATCAAAACAAGATTTTTACTGTGATTTTCAACCTCTATTTTCAAATATTTCAATTTCTAAATTCAAAATAGAAGCCAAAGTTAAATGTTAAATGAGCTTTTTTGGCTGAAAATAAAATAATTATATATAAAGCTGAACAACTTGTTTAAAAAATGTATTTTATCCAAAAATTAAGTGATCTAATATAAAATGTTTAAAAAAATGTATTTTCTCCTTGATATAGAATGTTTTGTCATTTCAACATATTTTTTTTTTGTTTCCATTGAGTTTGAGATGAAACTAATTGCAGATATTTATTATTAAAGCATTGCAGATACTTATTATTAAAGCATATAATGTACATAAAAAGGAAAGCATTTAAATTCATGTTTAAAAAACACATCTTGCTCTGTTTATACAATTACACAATCATAATGAACACAAAATAAGTATTATATAAAAAAAAATGTTTCATGAACCTTGTGTAGGATTTCTGTCATGTTTCAAAAATATACAATCCTCATACATTTTTTTTTATGTAAAAAGCATATTCACGTCTTACATTAAGGAACCTAAAGTTTATGCATGCTTTAAGACTGCTTTTCCCCCTTCAAGCTTCAGATATTCAGGTCACAGAATAACTTTATCATCAGTTAATTTTAATTAGGCTGCTGAGGCCATTATCCGACATATAATATTAGGAAGTTGTGCCCTTATATTTGACCTCCCTGCTTCCCAAGTGCTTCTACCCATTGAACTTGATTGAAATCTTTTATAACAGTGATCACGTGTACAATTCACACATTGACATAATTGTTCTGTTTTCCATCAAGGTGGTTTCTGCTGTTTTTGTAGCTTGGCTCCAGACAGAATTGGAATATGTTGGACATTTACACCACTTTGTTTATCTTGTTTTTGTTTTCTGCTAAACATTCCTCCCATGAACATATCCTGTGAAAGAAAAAAATAATATTTATTGACCTAGGAATAAATATCACTTATTGACCCCGTATAAAAAAAAATCTTTTATAAACCCCAGATCAAACACTACATTAAAAATCAACTCATAAGTAGTTAGATAAGCATTTTCTTTCTTATCATTCTTTCCCTTCCTTTTTTAAATTAAGAAACCTTTTTTAAGAGTATTTTAATGCATAAATATTACTTGTCATTAAATTTTTATAATATATATTTTTTCTGGTCAAAATGAAAGTTTTAATTCCTTCAAAAAAAAAAAAAAAAAAAAAAGATTTTCATTACCATTTACGCAACACAGAAATGGGCTTACTTCCTTTAACATTCACTCAAACATTAGTTTCATACCAAAGTACACACTTGAAATTATCTCTACAATTTTTGTATTAGAACATATTTTTTTGAAAATATTAATTATTTGTTCAAATAATATGTATAATGATAAAATATTGAATTGAATAATGATTATCTATCCAACTACACTATCAATTTAAACAATGTTCTTTTCTTCCAATCAAATTAATAATATATAGATAAATTTATAAAAATTAGTCAAGAAATAAATGTTGCATAAAAATATCATAAAAATATCTTCTTAGAAAAAAGAACAGAGAAAATTTTGCTTTGTATAAATATTTTTGACCAGGAAAAGCATTCTGTTTTACTTTCATCTCTCTCATCAAAAAGTGACCTAGTTTATATGTTCAAAGCAACTACTTTATATCCAATTATCTCTTTCTAATAGGAACTACAAAGTCTTTATTGGCCTATAAAGTAACTACTGTTACAGTATCATAAAATGGTATTTAAGAGATAAATCAAATAGATATATTTAAAAATTTTGCTAAGTGAGCAAAACAGAAGCAATTTTATAAAACTCTTGTGTACAGTGATCTTATTTTGTTTCAAGTCTAGCAAACTGCACACATTTCCAATATAAGTATAAATCCATTTCTGAAGAGACCTATCTAATTACAGTACAGGCAACGCGGATCCCGTATTAGACCGCGTCCCCTCCGCGGTGTATTAATCCTTTCCGCGTTACACCGTCGCGGGTTTTGATCGCGGTGCTACCTGAGACCGTGTTTACACCGCGGCGGGGCCCGCTACCGTTATTCTTCAGCTTAGATGTTCTTACCTGTAAAGTATTGTCGATTTTTAATCGTGTCGAAATGGGGGGGGGGGGGGGGTTACGAGCACATTAATATTATATATTTATACCATTACATGGATTCTTTAAAAATTCATTTTTAAGTTTTATCAAATTGTTTAATAAAATACATCTTTCTTTTTTTTTTTTTACCAATGGTCACTCAAAATCAATTCTCAAAAACGTCTGTTAACAGCAATACATGTACAGTATAGGATGAAATAAAGTCGAATAATTTATCGAATATATTAATTTAAAGTTTATTTTCAAAATCAGTAATCTCACCCCAAATGATCTTCAAATTGCTAAAAAGGTATAATTAAAATTTAAAGAATGCCATGATATCGCTTCTCTTTATATGCACTGTAATCCGGTGTTCACAATTAGCCCGTGCAGTTGCAGTTACATGTAGCTATGTGTTTATTTATCTGCGAGATTATATCAGTCATTTGGTTTCATTTAGAAAAGTACCGTTACTTCTGTATACATGTCTGTTATAAATAATAGCATGAAAAACGATGATAGATAGTGATGCATAATTACAATTAAATTTTAACAAAACACGCCTAAGTGTAGGAATACCGTTGCTCCATTATTATACGCTACACTGTAAGACTATGAACTAAATATCGATTTTTTTTTTTGGGGGGGGGGGGGGTTCTTGTTAATAAAATAATCACAGGTATTTCTATTCAGAATATCAATAATATCATAGCTAGTATTTGAATATATTTCTATTTTCTGCTCTTTTCGAAAATTACTGTAAATCACTTTTTATTCGCGAGAACTTTATTTCCGCGTAATTACGCGAGACGGTATGCTCGCGAAAATTTAATTCTCGCGTATAATAGAATTCCTTAAGATTATATAGAGCGACGACCACAATTCGTGAAAATTTTGTCTCGCTTATAAAGAATCAATGACAATCTCGCAAAAATAAAGTGTCGCGAAAATATAGTGATCTACAGTACTAAAATCATGCTTATGAACATAAACAAATTTCTGATTTCTCCGGTTCAAATAAAACACAAACACAAATATGGGCCCTTAAAATATTTGAACACACAACACAGAAATTAACTTATTTTAATCAGCAAGGTGCCATGCTTCAAGTTTTCAGATGTCTGTGTAACCGTTCGGTTTTCCTCAGGTAAGTTTGGTGAGGAGTGGAGCTTACTCGAAGCGGATGAGAAGCCCCGAGGGAACGACGCTGTCTGGTGTACATACTACCTATATACACAGGATGTTACCTGAGTGTATTACCTGTATGCGTTTTCCTACGACACTGTAAAACGAAGCCGTTTTTTTTTCCCTGTATAGCTCATGAATTGAAATGCATGAAATAAAGAATGTTTTTGTTGCAGACAGAATCCTTTTCAAAATTTTTGTTTCAAATAAATATTTTCAATAATTCGACAATTTTAATATACTGTGTTTTTCTTAATCAAATTTTATAACAAAAATACATTTTATTTTACCACCAAAATCTGTCGTTGTAATCTGGCGACAAAAAGGGAAGTAATTCAAATTACATGTCATGTACATATGCTAAACGAAAGAAGAAAGTGGATCATAAACAAGTCTCTCGATAAATAACAATAAAACTTAGACAAATGGTCAATAAACTGATAAATCAGCGGTAGTTTTATTCGCTAGACTTAAGAAATTGATATACTGATCAAAAAGGAGGAAAAACGATCATGCACGTGCCTTAATATTGTGATATTTTTCTTCTCTCTATCTCCCCCTCTCTCTCTCAATCTTCTAACTGGTACAGATATAAACAGACACGAAATAACATAGTAATGGATCATTATTTGATTTAATTAATATCAAATACTTCATTAATTTGTTTTAAAAGTTTTTTTTTTTTACTTTTATTCTTTTTATACACTCCGTTTAAAAAAAAGCAACAATAATTTGACACAAATTCCAAGGCTAATTTCGCATCTGAAAATGATATCGATGAAATAATAATGAAACAATGAATCAAATGTGTTGTTGAATGGCTAGACAACGATGTGCACATCCAGCGAGCGTTACCCAAGGTATTCCGGATTTTCGTAATGTTTGCTTGTAAGAGTTATCGTTCCTGCGGGACGGTATATATAAACTTCCGGTTAGTCTTCGAAGCGAAGAAAATTAGAAAAACATGGGAAAATATTATTGTTGTGTCACAAAATGTCACAATTTTAGTGGCAGGGTTGGTTCATTTGGAAGGCAAGTAACTTTACATAAACTTCCTAAAGAAGTATACACAAGACGTGCGTGGATTCGCTTGATCAGTAGAAAAAACTGGAAGCCCAGTAGTTACACTCGTGTGTGCTCAGATCATTTCAAAGATGGTGTCGGGCCAACTTCCCAGGACAGAAATAAAATACCGAGCGAAAACCTGCCTCAAAAACAGAAAAAGGTATTTGTAAGAAGGGATCCACCCAAGAGAATATGCAGTGGCCCAGAACGTGCAGACAATTCAGTTCATACCACAGACAAAGCAGGGATATTGAATCACCATTCGTGAGTACTACACTGTACATCATGCAGCATTTAGTTGCTATCTAATACTTGAAGAAAAAATGAACTCATAGATTAACAACCATAATCATTCTGAAGTACGATAAACATAAACACATATCTATTGTTTATATGAAGTGTTTATAGGCAACTATTTTAATTAAGAAATAAATAACAAGTTTATAAACTTCAATGGGAATTGAAGTGGGTCGGTCACGTGATCAAATCCTGTGAAGGCCGAAGGCCTTCTCAGAAGATTTGATCACGTACCGACCCACTTCAATTCCCATTGAAGTTTATAAACTTGTTATTTATTACTTATATATACATTTGAGACAGACATTTGAATATTTTCGAATTTAAATTATTGCACTAACCGTCCGTCGTAGATTTTAAAAAATGATGCAAGGTGTAAATCGGTTTGCATGGCGGTTACGCTTTGAATTCATTAGGCTAAGGAATCTATTTCGAAGGGAATATCTTGTGAAAGGCTACTTGTGATCAGTAATAGCGAACAGATTGTTGTCTGGGAATATTTTATTCGTGAAAAATGATAATCGATGCTGAAAATACACAAGAAACACGTCCGAAGTTTGATGATAAAAAGTTGGAGGAATATTTCGGTCGCTGGAAAGGGATGGATGGATCCGATGGACTGACACACTTGTCCGAGCCATTTAGGATTTGCAATTTGATCAAAAACATTCCACGGTTTCAGTAACTAAAGGCATACTTATCGTAAAACACTGATAAACACGGAGACACTGGCGACAGCTTTACATTGAACTACGAAAACGCCGAGGTGTTTGGCAGCTGTTCATGGTATGATTGCAAAGATATTTTCCAACAGATTTAGGCCTACACATTTATCGTGAGTAAAATTCAAAGATAAGATAAAAGTTTATCATGAAAAGTGAACCAAAGGTCTATCCAAAAAATAAGGATGAACGTTAGAGACTGTGCAGCTGACAAAAGTGAAGAAAATTGTAAACAAACGCTAGGCTCCTAGTTTTCTCTATGTATACACATGTTGAATCGATAGCCCAAAAACTGTATGAAATACTTGTTTACATTTAAAATAAAATAATTATCATTTTACTTGCTTATTTTATTCATTTTTATACATGAAAAGCAAGTAGAGTAGGTTATTTTATAATTTATGTACCTGTAGATATTATTGCGCCGTGTGATTAGGTCATGTATTGACCTCTGACCTCTGACAAACTTCATACAGAATTGAAGATATTTTCTCTCTGTATGTTTATACAATGGAGAGATACCACAAATGTATATATTTAACAGTATGGGGCTCATGCACCACCCACTTCCCTTCTTAATTTATTAATTACAGTGATTTGATTTACATTTAGAAGAATGTTTACTGTATCAGAATATCTTCTGAATGTTTTTATATGATTTGACATCTAATGTAATTTTTTAAGCTGACCCGGTTAATGTAGTTAGAATAATCCAACTGTGTCTCGGGGGTCCGTAGGACATTTATCATTTTAACGATAGAACATTCTATCTACGGTTTATTAATGGATTGAACTGCTGAAACTGTTTTTTACTAAATTTGTAGGTATTCTGCTACTGAATTGGTTGATTTGATGGCGCATGAAGAACCCAGTGCATCAGGAAATATGTCCAAAGAAATCCAAACCTTTTCACAGTCCTTAGTTTCTGTTGGAATAGATACCAACCTACCGGAGATTACGATTGAGGCGATACAACATTCTAATGAGTTGATGATGTTTTACACAGGAATGACTGACAGTAACACTTTTTTCGCAGTATTTTATTCGCTAATGGAACAAGGAGCAGACAAGCTGTCAACAGAGGTTTTGGGCACAATGAATAACAATAAGTTAGGTCGTAAAAGAAAACTGAGAAGGGTAGATGAATTTTTGTTAGTGATGATGAGACTTAGATTAGGATTACTGTTGAAAGATCTTGAATTCCGTTTTAAACTGTCTTCAAGTGCTGTGTCAAAAATTTTCAATTCCTGGATACTTTTTATGTATGAGTGCATGCAATCTCTTGTTTTTTTGCCAGAGCTTGAAGTTTTGAAGCTACATGTTCCTAAATGTTTCAAAAATTTTTCAGACACACGTGTAGTTTTAGACTGCACTGAGATTTTCATCCAAAGTCCATCTTCTTTAGAAAACAAGTCCCTGACTTTTTCTAATTACAAATCACACGACACATTCAAAGCATTGGTTGGAGTAAGTATGACAGGCGTTGTTGTTTTTATTTCAAAACTCTGGCCAGGATCAGCTTCTGATGTTGAAATTACTAGAAATTGTGGTTTGATACATCTTCTTATGCGAGGAGATGCTGTCATGGTTGACAAAGGTTTTATTCATATAGCTAAAGATTTGAAATGTAAAGGTGTTAAACTTTATTGTCCGCCTTTTAAATCAGAACTCCAGTTTAGTAGGAGTGAAGTAGAAACTACTCGTAGAATAGCTTCTGCGAGAATTCATGTAGAACGCAAGATGGAACAGATAAAGAATTTTAGAATTCTACAGGGTATTATGCCTTTAGCAATAAGTGACTTTGCTGACCAAATATTCTTTGTGTGTACTGCTCTTACCAACCTTCTACCACCCCTGGTGTCTGAATAAATTACTGGTACTTACGCTGTGATATGTTTTATAAAAAACTGAAATAAATTGTTTTACTTTAATTTTATTTCTTAATCTTACTTTAATATGAACAGTACGTATCACGTGTATATTTTACATATACATGTACCCATTAACCTGGTCCCAGGATCATGAAACATCTTAAGTTTAAGTCAAAATCTTTATTTATTATAAAGTGTTGTAAAGGTTGAGCACACCAAAATTAAAATATTTTTCAATATTGCTTCTCAAAAGAGTTTTCATCTGCAAATTTCTAAATAAATTCCTCAATTAATGAATATTTTATAGGTGATAGAAAATTTGATTTAAGTCTAAGTTTTTTCATGATCCTGGGGCCAGCTGATGTATGATACATGTTTATTCATACATGTACCCGTATGTTGTACATTTGTATAAAAATATTTTTTTAAATTTTGGATCGATCAACTTAAAGCTGAACACTACTCATAAAAGGCATAGTTTGCCATATTTTTTTTCTCTTAGTCATCACTATCCCTATAATTAACCCCTTGCATAAGTCCAGACCTCTTTAAACAGTTTAGAGTTCTTTGCTGCACATTCTCATCTGTGTGGACACACACTTGGCATTACCGTGTTATTCTGTCAGGATGGAATTATGAAATTTTATGCCATTATTTAAAGCCAGGGGAAAAGTAACATCAAATATACAGGTTTTATAACAGTGTGCTTGTATTTATTTATGAGTAGTGCTCAGCTTGAACAATTTTATACATTTAAAAGTATGGTGCATCTCAGTAACTAATATTTACAGAAAATCAGAAAAACAGTGAATAAAATATTTAAGTGTAAAACAGATCTTTAAACAAAGAAGACATATGTACTAAAACTGTAAACTCTCTCATCACCAGTTTAATATTGAAGTTACACTCATGGTTTGTCATTAAGGATGAAAACATATGATTCATCAATGTCAATATTGTCAAATGACACATGATATTTAAGGACATAAAAAAATGGACATGGCTATGATTTATCATTTTACACAAAATGATGCAAATCAAAGGATCAAAAACCTTTGTCTTAGTTTTTCAATTTTGGAAAGAGCTCTTCAATATAGAATTTTTTTAGCTTTATGAGTAATGATTCCCAAAAAGAGATGTCAAATTGGATGGGAATAACTAAAAAGTCTTTGATCGTATAAATAACAAAATCACATCTCTCCATTTGACATACACCCATTTGACCCTGCACCTGGGTATAATATCTATGACTTTTCTTCAACTGAATTGTATTTGTATCATCAACATAACAACAAAATGTTTTATCCTTGCACGCTTCTAAAATAGTACACTGTCTCCACTTAAAAGGACACTTTACTTCCAGAAGATATTTGTGTTTTTCAAACTTCACTAAACCATCAGGGCTTGCACCTAAGTAAGAGCAATGTGTATACAAAACCAGCCCCATATCTTCAACAATGACATTCTGTTTTTTTTTCAATTTCATGTGAGCTATGTACCTTTTTTTAGCAATGGGTTCTTGCTTAATCCCCCAATTCACAGCACTATTTTCTAAAGGTTTACCCTGACCCAAGAGTCTACATATGACATTTTCTGATTTTGTGAAATCTTTTTTTGTTTTAATTTCATGAAAATTTGAAGCTGTTATACGAGCTACTCGAGCTGAAACCCACAAAGGATTGTTATGTTGCCCTTTAGTTCGAACTTCAATTTCATCAACTATTTCTTGACTGCATGTTGATATAAAAGTAAGAAAGTCAGATTGAGACATATTTTCATCTTGAACAGTTTTTTGTAAAGCAATGTATTTGTCAGAAAGGTGAAGAATGTGGTCACTAGTCTCTACTTCTTCAAAATGAGCAATATTGAGGTCACTCTGTACATCAATATTGTTATTAGCACATGGGGGAAGAATGTAAAAAATAGCAGCACGTGAGTTATTTCCAAGTTTTGCACACAATGAGTTTCTAAATTTTATACTATCTACTTTATAATTCACCGTCTTTTTTTTCTTTACATTTTCTCCAGATAATTTGATCTTCTTGAAACTCATGTCTTGCACAGGTTTAGTATCTTTCTTTCTTTTGCTGGGTCGATTCCACTCGCAAGGCTTTGAAGTGCATGGAACATCATCGACTGCCACAGGGCGGCCTTCCAGGGCAAACAACAGTCCGGCAACATGGGTACATCCTTCACCAAGGCTGCAAATACATATTTACATAATCATATGTACATGGATTCATATCAGCTATCAGAGTTTATAACATATACCAATTTAATTAAATAATGCTATTCACTGAGATATTAAAAATTAATTTTTTTTGTTCATTATTAGAATTATTGTTTTATGAATGCATGCATAATTAAATAAATAATGGGAAAAATAATCTATTTATTTCATAATTTTAATTTGACATATTTATATTATTTAAGAAAGTGATTTTAATTTAGCTAATACTGGTAATTCATACCCTGCTGGGCACGTGCAGCTTGCTTTCTGGACGTGAAAAGGGGTTTTCTTTGTCATTAGGATCCACTGCTCATACACACCCTGCTTCATTGAAGGATAACATTTTGATCGTATATAGCAATACTCGCTGCCAGGACTTATCTCATTCATCATAATCTTATGTATGTAGCCCTCTTTGAAAAAATTTAATCCTCTAATATATTGCCTATAGCACTGCATTTTTTTGGCATCGACAGTCCTGTGGTTACTGTGAATCAAATAATTCTCCACATCTTGAATTTTAATTTTGGGAAACATGTCCGATTTACCTGCCCAACCTGAATGCAGGTCCTTTATATCTGGTACAGGTACATCTGAAGTTTGACACGACTGATGTGTGGGTATTTGACTGGGCGTAGTGCACGAACGATCTTTTATTGCCTTCACTACACGTTGGGCGAGTTCCAGCTTGTTGCCACTCACTTTTATGTGATTTACTCGCAGAAATGTTTGTATTTGGGATTTCTGATATTTAAGTATGTCTTCCACAGTGGTATTAAATGATAACGGCAAGTCTGTGCCTTCATTACGTAGTGGTTCCATCGCATTGTTTGTAATATGGCGCTATGGAACTCTTTACCGGAAGTGTACATACCGTCCCGCATGAACGATAACTCGTATAAGCAAACATTACGAAAGGAGGGAATACTTTAAGACAGGTGTGAAACCCCCAGGGCATGCAGTTTCCTGCTCAGGCACTGCTAATCCCTATACACAGGAAATGATCGCGGCTAATACTTAATACACAAAGAAACAGAATTTGTCAAAGAAAACAAAAATATATGAATTTTTGCATTGAATATTTATTAATATAAACTATAATTTCGTCTGTGAAGTTTATCATTACACCTGCACATCCTATCTTATCTATTGAACACGAAAATCGAGAAATATTAAAATTAAAAAGAAAGACATTGTATGAAAAAGTAAAACATGTTAATGTGAAGGTGAAAAACGATATTTTTTCTTGATCTCTTGTATAAAGTTCACGTGCTCAAAGTTAACTCTCGTCATCGAATGCTTTCCGGTCATTTGACAATTTGAGAAAAATGCCTGCACATTTATATAAAAGAGGGAAATACATCAAAGAAAATTAATTAATTAAATTAAATTAATTTGGGAACAGAACATAAACGATGAGAAATAAAGAAGAATAGAACTTTTTCTTGATATCTTGGATAAAGAAAATTTAAGTTCACGTGCCCACAACATGTAACTGCAAATGCTCGTCATCGGATGTTTTCCGGTAATTTGACACTTTAAGAAAAAGCCTGTACATTTTATATACAATAAATCGAAATTAATTAATAAACAATATGAAGATGTACATTTTTAAAAAGATGTACATCTTTTTTTCCAAATGAATGCAGAAAATCGTTCATCGAAACTTAAACAGTCCGAGTTCAACATTTATTACAGTTTGCATATAATATGAAGATTAAAAAAAAACTAATTAAAATTTCTAGTATTTAATTTTGTTTCTTGATAGATTCTTAATAACACAAAATAATTAACCAATTACAAAGACGTAACAATTTAATAAAATTTTCTATTCAATTTCAAAGATTGATATGTAATTTTAGAAACAAAAATAAACTTATTTTTTCTTAGTTTAAATTCTATTCATAGCAAAATTTATTAATAAACACACGGGTTTTTTTTTTGTTTGTTTGGTTTTTTTTTTTTTTTTTTTTTTTTTTTGTTACAGGAAAAATTCGCAAATTACAATTCGGGGAGATAACTCCCGTTTGTTTACGATACTAATTGTCAGTAATTGATCGATGATTTAACCGCGGCGGGGACAGGTAAGTGATGAATTTCCCGCGGAGGGAACGCGGTTTACCTGTCTACCTGGCCAAATACCGCGTTGTGATTATACCGCGGCGGGGACGCGGGAAATACGGGATCCGCGTTGCCTGTACTGTACCTAGTAAGTAATTAAAAAGTGTTGTATGTACCTTCAGAAACAAATTTCAGAGCAATCCAAACTGTACTGCAGTTTTCAATTTAACTAGGAATCAAATTAACATGTACTTGAAAAATTCATTTAGAATAATACTTATTGTAGTTATATTTTTTTCAGTACACACAAACTAAAAAAATCAGCTCTATTTCCTCTTGTGCTGCTATAAGCTTACTTTGATTCATAAAGCAAGAAAACTATAGCAGATTGGATTGCTACTTTATAAAATTGAACATCAAAACTGCAAAGAAAGCAAAAGTTGCAAACAGTGCAATTTTCAGCATGCTATACCTGACACCAATTGTGTGTATTTCTTGTTTATCCCTGATCACAAAAAATAAACAAAAAGAACATTAGCAAGACAAAGAGGGGGGTTTCTGGTTTGGATGAAGTGTACAAAAGGGAAAGAGGCATGCAAACATGAACAGGTTTTTTGTTGAAGGTCCTGTGAAAGATGACAACAGATTCTTTGAAGCAACAGAGAGGTAAGGAAAAAAATGATGCAACCTTATTTTATATTTTATGGAAAATAGGGGGCTACTATTTTTTTTTTATAAAATGTTATTTAGAAAAAAAATAAGCAACTAACAATGTATGTTTATCTTAAACAAAAAGTAAAGATGTTTCTTTTAATTTTGAATAGAAAAGAAAGTCACAGAAGGTTATTTCTGTGTAAAAAGACAAAAATCATGCATATAATGTGTACTACATGACCACAATCTTATAAGACATGAAAAAATGGTGCAAGGACAGAAAGACAAATGGTGATTACATTAATTTATAAAACAACACAAGGAGGAACTGCATGACATGGCGGCAGACAAGATGTACCTTGGTCTGTGAGGAGTTGAAAATGAGTTGATGATGAAATGAGTAAATGAGTCGAAAATTCCTAATAAAAGAAAACAATTCAACTTTTATGACACACAGTCCCTAAAGTGCTGTATCAAGTTTAATGCCCTATCTTTAGTAAGGCTATTTCTTAGATAATTTATTTCTGTTCTAAAATTAATTTGCCATCACATAAACATTGTTAATTGTTGAAATGCTGTCATTTTAGTAAAAAGCAGTTTCAGCCACGAATCCACCTGATGGGAATGCAAATGCTATGGCCACAAAGCAGCAATTTCAATAACAATATCAATTCACTCAAAAGCTAATAACTGAGATAAATGGAAATGATCATGATCACAAATGAATGAAAATCAAGAGGTTTGAACTAAAGAGTGCTAATGAAGAGCCCTACAGCTATATAAGAGATGAAACACCGAGAATGGATGGAAGATCAAGAGATACATACCGCAGGCTGCTGTTGCATTTTATCATACAAGTTTTCCTGCAATTCAAATAATATGGATGCCATAATCAGCAAACAAAACAATAAATTCTTGCACTACATGACCCAAAAAGAAATGAATTTTCAGGTGTCATTCTTCAAGAAAACTTAAGTTAATGCACACAGAATTATTAGCACTATAGATTAGTAGCATTTTAATGGTGATCCATCTTTTTTTCAGTAAAAATATCATAGTGTGCTAATTTAACTTTAGTTACCACTAATAAAATAACATTGCCTGATCTCAAAGACTAAATTTTACAAACTATAACACAAAATACTCAAAAGGATATATTTAAATATTTATGTAATACATACATCTGAACCACTCCTTCTTGGTTGCACCTCCTTTTTGGGTGAAGGGGTCACGCCATGGAATGAAGCAGTGCGCTTGACATTTGACCCCGGTCTTGGCGTGTAGTCATCAAACTGGTTACCATGGCGACTGTGGGCGGAGTGATGTGAGGGGGTGGAGGGTGCAGATGATTGGCGGTGCTGAGAGACATTCACTTTCTGGTCTGAACCAGATCTATGGAGGTAAAAACGCACAAAGGTCAAGGGTCAACAGAGGAGAATAAGGAATTGACAATATAATGCACCTGCAAGAATTAATCATTGAATAACTGGTTTTAAGACAACACAGGGAAAAATTACGAATTTTTAAATTGGTAATTTAAAAAAATTATTCAATTTTATTTTATTATGAATGCCGTGATTATGATGATAGAACTTACAGTATTGATAGATAAAACATTGATGGAAAGATGGAAAGATTAAAGAATCTATTTCACTATCAGAAAGAGTTTCAGGGTTTTATCTACAATTAATCCTGTTTTTACACTATTTTAGGGTCTTAAAAGATCCACTTCCTAACATATATATTTTAAAAGTCTTTAAATAATTTAGTATTTTAACAGGCTTCTTTGAAATTCAGTCCTTGAGGTTATATATTTTTTTATGAAGATATTTTCCCCCAACATCAAAGCAATTGCAAATCTGCTCTGAGTGTTGTATAAGGGCACACTATCAAGACTCCACTTGACATGAAGTATGGTTTTATATCACAATACACATCGTGAAGAAACTATAATATCAGACAGAAACACAACAAAAAGAGAGAAAGAAATTTTATCTAAGAACTACAGTAGAAATAGATACATGAATAATATATAATTTAGGAAATATAGTAGAAATGACTACATAAATAAAAATTCTAATAGAATATGTTAAAATAATCTACAAAGGCAGTTTCTTTTAGAGCACATGCATTATTAAATTGAAGTTTTTTTTCTTTAAAAAAAAAAGGATAGAGTGAGTATGTCAACTACAGAAGAATCTAAGGGAGAGAACTACGAGTAACATCCTTGTCTTCAGTTGTCTACCTTTTATGAGTTTTGTATGGTTTTCTATTTAGCTGTGGATCGTCTGACTGGGAGGAACTATCACTCTGATGAACTGTCCTTTCTGACACTGAATCCCCCTCACTCCCCCCACTGATCCTTCTTGGCCGATGATGCCCCTCCTCAATCCCTGGACTTTCCGACGTGGACTTTTTCTTCATTTTCTGGGCCCGACTTTGAATGGACTCCTCCTGGCTCTTGGAGAAGTTCTGAAGTTTCTGTAACAGTTTTGTTATCCCGGTGTTTCCTGGTTTCTTGTCCATATCCAGCTGCCTGGAAGCCGAGGAACTAGAAATTTCCGACACGTCACTCTCTGATCCATTGGATGGAGTCCTCCGTCTATCATTGCCAGACGGCGACATGTTTTTGGTGGGAGTTCTCCTGCTTTCACTCACGTCTTCATTGCTGTTGGTCCTTCGAGACCTAGGAGGCAAGCCAGCATGCTGATCACTTCCTTCCGTTCCTAACGAATTAGTACCAAAATTTGCACTGCTTTTGCTGGAGAATTTCTCCAAAAGTTCTGCCACTGTCCTTTTCTTTTCCGCCTTCTCTGAAGCATCTGAAGGGGCAGGGCTACTGGGTCTGCTACCGGAGGAATGTCTTTTACTAGCATCAATGATGGGAATTCCATGTACTTCCCCAGTAGGGGAATCCTTGACCCACGCTTTCTTCACTTCTCTCTTCTCCGGTTCCTTGGCGTGACTGGACACATCTATATCTTTCCTCCACTCATAGTCCTTACTTCTAGTTCTCCTGTGCGTTTGTGTTTTTTCTCTCGGTATATCCTCACTCCTATTCAAATTGTCTTTTTCACTTGCACTTTTTGATGGCTGTTCTACAATATTATAAGAATGTGGACTAACACTTCCTGCATTAGGACTTGCTTGATTCTGATTCACATCCTCATCCTGTAAATCAGACGCTTTGAAGTCTTTGCTACGTTTTCTTCTATGGGTTTTCACTGACTGTTCACTCGACTCCTGCATCCCGAGGCTGCTCTGAGCTCTCGTGATGGCCATCAGCAAGGACTCTGATGACTCTACTGTAAAAGTCTCTGACAGTTGTGAGGTAGAAGGTCCTTCGCTCTGGCTTCCTGACTGAGGCGACCGTTTGGACTCACTGGGTTGTGGCAGGCTTGGGGCAGATTCCGAACACTGGGGTTCTGTATGTAGAGTGGATTCCCTACTTCTTGGTCTCGTGTGAATTTTTGGCTGTTTGAATACACCATCTGTGCTGTTAACCGACTTTGATTTATCTGACCTAGATGGAGGTCTGTCTTGATCACTAGCACTGGATCCTTTTCGACTGGACTGTCTCTTGTCTTGGCGAGGAGATTTAATTCTCCGTTTCTGACGCTGATGACTGTCCTTCCGTCGCCTTGCAATGTCTGAACTTTCCGTGGAATCGTGATCACTGTCTGTTCTGTTGCTGTCGGTGCTAGAGGCACGTTTACGTGCGGCTTGGGACAGGGCAGCCATCAGAATATCTGAAGAGTTAGACTCTCCCAGAGAGGAAACTGCCTTCACATATATCCTAAAAGAGAAACGGAGATTTATTATAAACATGGAACAAATACATTGCACTAAAAATATTTTGAATAACATCAGGTTTATAAATCAAATTCATTTTGATTTTGTGTTTTATTAATTATGTTGTATTTTTTAAGCACTCACTTGTAAGTTAACTCTGGGTTAAGACCATGGACGAGGGCAGCCAAACCATTGATCATGGCTACTGGTTTGTCATCCACATATACTCTGTATCCTGTAAGCAAAAACATTCCATGCATTATCAATATCCAAAAGTGTCAATTTTTCATACCACTCATTCTAATTTCACTCTTCACACCTTTGAAAAAAAATATTTATGACAATAGAATTATAATTTTTTTCATATACACATGCAGCACTTATATACATACCAAGAAGTGGTTTGTTGACTTCTTTACATGAAGAGTCTAAGATTTTAGAAGGACCCCAGGATAGGACGATGGAGTTTTCTCCCTTATGCTCCATATGCAGGCTCCTGGGAGGGGTGGGGCAGCCTAACTGAGGGAAGGAGTAAAAGTACTGCTCCTCCTCCTCTGAGGGGTAGGGCGAGAGGGAATGGGGGACCGTGGCTACAATAGAAGAGAATCATTAGATAGTGAAAGTGCACAGATAATCATGTTACTCTACACCAATACTTCATTGACATGTGTTCCTTTTAAATCCCGCACTTTGCCACTTATTCTCTTCAGCTTTAATTTCATTGCATGACTTAAAATTGGGAGAACTCTGATCTAAATATTTGTTTTTAGCATAACCTATGCTATTTTGAGGAAATCAAGAAACCTACCCCATCTAGAGCCAGTATAACTGGTCTCCTCACAGCTGGAGCTTTCATCCTCCTCATACCCTGTGACTAACAATGTCTGATCTGCATCTGTAATAGAAAATTTTGAAGTTGAGACCAATTAACAAAGTCACTGCACTCAAACATGTTGAAAACTTTGAATGGAAATTCATTCTGATGTACAAATTCCTGACCCATCCTTCTGATACTGACCATTAGTGATGGAGTCCATGCCTGCGGTCATAATGCCACTTTGGAACACAACACTAGACACTGACTGTAGAGCTTGAGAGAGCTGTGCCACCTAAAAACACAATACAAACTCTGTAACTAGATGATATATATATATCAAATTAAGGATTGCTTATTTAACGTTGTTGTTAAACTGATGGATCTTTGATTCTCCTTGAATTTAAAAGAGAATCAGATTAGCAAATATTTTAATTCTCTAATTCTATCAAATTCAAAGAAAAGGACAAGTGTAGAATGACCTTTAGAATTTGAAACAGATATTACCAGGGATATACACACTATAGTCTACTCTTCATCTACACTGACTAAAACATGCACTGCCTAATTCAATAATACCCTTTCCATATGTTACAATGTTGACCTAAGTTTATGTCTGGGTATACCTGGTTCTGCAGACTAGCACATGTCTTCTCTAGCTCCCTCTGTCTCTCCTCCTCCACCGACGACAGAGACCCCAGCCTCCCGCTGTCGCCATGACGACCACCCCCTCCGATCCGCTCCAGCGTATTCTGTATCTCCTGGCTGTAGTTATAGCTGTCGTCATGGTGACTAGAATCCAGGGTGTTGCGAAACTGCTGGGAGTTGAGGACTTCGGACTTCCAGCTCTGGAGGGATTGGACTTCCTTCCATAGACAGCGTATGGCTTCCATTTGGAGTCCTCTCAAATGTCTTTCTTCATCGTACAGTTTCCGCTGCCTGAAAAATGTTCTTAATTAAAATTCTTGACGATGTTCTATCATTTTGGAATTCATGACGGAAAATGCATACCAATGTACTTAACTATGGTCATATTGATGCTAAATCAACAATATAAAATTAATTTTTTAACCTCAGGATCATATGATACAAGTCCCTTGTTTTCAGCATTCATATTGCCTTACAATAAGAATAATTATTTCAAATGTGTCTTAGTTTCACAGCCTATGAGCTAAATCTAAGAAACATAAGCTACTCCATACCTATCAAGCTCGGACCTGAGCACCACTATATGATCCTCCGCACGGCGAGCTCGGATCTCTTTGCGTACTGACACCACCTCTGGGTTATGCTCCCGAGCCCAGAATCCACGCCATGTTGCCTGTATTAAGGTTGCTGCCCTGTGGTCTAAAAGAAAAATTGTAATATTTTCATAGAAGGTCAACACATCATTTTTAAAAATCTTCTATAAATCACCTTTAATTTGTGAGAACTTAATTTTTTTCATAAATTAATTACGCGAGTCTGAGTGCTCGCAAAAAATTTGATTCTTGCATATATTAAGTACAATCATGTAGTCCTCAATATTATCTAAAGAGCATAATCACATTTCCTGAAAAATGTTGTCCTGTTATAATAATGAGTAAATGACTTTGAAAATTCTAGCAAAAGTGAGGAGTCAAGAAAATTAATAATCTACAGACAGTATTGTGAGATCTCGTGGATTCTTCTCTCTTAATCATCTAAACCTTACAAAGTACAAACTGTACAAATCATATATTGCATCTGAGTATTTTCCATTTTATAGTAATAATTGAAATCAATTGAAATTGTAAATCAACATAAATACATTGTTAGAATGAGATAAATTTATTTATGTGTTTATGAATAAGAACAAATAAAATACTAGTATGTATGTTTTCTTCATGTTGTTGGAGCACCTACCTCTGACAGTTTTATTATACCAAGGCATATTGCCAACAGAATTTGTTTTTCATAAATCAAGCAACAGATAGAATTCAAGATATATCCATAGGACACAAAAAATCACATTATTCTCAAACACTTCCCACAATAAAATCACTCTTATCACTATTATAGATGCGCATTTGTGAATTAGAAATTCTTTTCCTCATGTGTTTACAGTACTAAAACACAATCTCTATTTAGAAGGGTCGGAATGAGAATTAATTCATATTGACATGGTCAAAACAACGACTATGAAACACAGTTACACCATAACTTGGGGGATTAAGAGGGGGGACTTTAATCATGATTAAGGTTATTTAAAAACACAAAATCCATAACAATGAAATGACAGATACAAATAAACTGTCATAGAAAAAAAACATTGCCGTTTTTATAGATTTAAAATTCAAATCTTTCAATCCTTATAAAGAGCCAGATTGGTTAAATTTAAAACTGATTTAAAATGAACTTTGATTTTTAAAAGTATCAATTATCCCTTAGAGAGACTCTTTGAAGTTAATCCAAACATTTCCGTTATAAAACCCAAGATTATCAGTGATTATCCAATTAAACAGCCTTTGTTAATAAGGTTCTTGGCTTTATGTAGAATATAGTTCTCTCATAAGGTCTGTGACAAAACCATTCACTGTATTTTTGTGTCTTACCTAATTGGATCAAGAGTGGTCTGATTTCAAGATTAAAAACTTTTACTATGACGTTATACCAGTAGAAGATCTATAGCTATCATGAAAATTGAAAATGAAAACTGTTTTCTGTTGACCTAATTTTAATTGGACCAAATATTACTAAGAACAACTGTTGTTTTGAAAATAATATTCCTGTGAAATGTTTTTAAGGCTTAAATTACATGTTTAAAAAAAATAAAATTGGAAATATTAAATTAAATCGAAAGTCTATTCACATCAGAGATTTTTTCATCATTGACAAGCAGAATCAGAAAATATATAATATAGGTACTTTCATATAATATCAAACATATGCAGATATGCATAAAATTTTTGAGTCCCAAAATCTTTCATTCCTCTGAAAATACACTATAATATGGACCACATACAATACACATAAGAGTAGCATTATCATACAAATACATACAATCATGCATAGATCATGTAGATATGTCCTTGTCTGTATGTTATGTTGGCAAATGCATGCATGGCTATACATCTATACTAATTAATGTGTTCATACCTATTTCGACTAATTGAATTCATGAAAACTTCTGATAATTCAAGCTAATACAATGAGAATTTTTCCCAAAATACAAATTAGTCATTTAAACAAACATGAAAATAAAGGCCATCAAGTTTCCATGGAAACAGATTGCAGCTTCGTCTGTGTCTGCTTAGCAACAACTGCCATTACTTCTAATATACTGGAGTTCTATATTACCAGACTGTGCAATAAACCCACATAAAAAATAGAAATATTGCCAATATTGGAGATAGAAGAGACAGTTTTGTAACTAATCGATGTCACAACAGACTTAAGTTTGGCTCATAAGTTACGTAATTTAAAATAATAACCTTGAACATGTCGAAGACATTCATTCAAAATGCTCAAGCATGCTCTTCAGACCAAGAAAACAAGAAGAAAAAAAAATTAAGCCAAGTACGGAGTAGTCTGTTCAAATATTAAGATTAGTGCAGACTTTTAAATATCACCTAAATGTATCAATATGCCCTACATTTGATACTTAAATGATAACAAAAAATTGCAACCCCTTTGAACATGTTGAAAACTTATGGACATTATACATTTGAAACTGCTTCAAATTTTGAAAAAAAAAAAATTAAATCTTACAATTTATTCCTCAATAAATCAATTCATTCAGTTGATATTATAAAGACATTCAAATTTTCTTTTATGCATGTTTTCAATCAATCATTTGGTGTAAGTTTGTTGCAAAAAATTTTGATAATAAATAAGACAAGGTTATCTGAGCTGAAGTTGCTAACATTGAAAACTCATTTTAGATCTCCATTTATCAAATTTTTCACAAATCCTGCTTTAGAAATGGGAACTTGTAAGCACTTCACAATATGTTGTGTTCTCAACTTAATACAAAAACTTCTGAAAATTAATAGTATGCAGGTGATTTTTTGACTCTCAAAGCAAACTAACTTCTTAGGAAATTCACTCCCATGTCAACACAGTCATTCAAAGCAATTGGAAACAAATTACTGCAGAATTTAGTGTTCCTAAAATCTTTTTCTTAACCACCAAGTTTTAATCATCATGAATTTCATTCTAATAATCAACACAAGGTCTTGCAGTTTCAAGAATGGTACTGACAAAGGCAGAATAGATATGAAGCAACAGTATTAATGCATAAAGATTAGGACATCAGTATTGTCAAATTTCACATTGTCGAGGTATATTCCAAGAACAGCCCTCTTTCTTCCAATATTAAATTTCATAAAATGTAAACATGGCTACTATTTTGCTTCATAAGGGATAGAAAATGAAAACCATATCCAACACACAATCAAAAAATCAAAGCATTCTTTTTCTCTTTTTTTAGGTCAACTGTCAGAATATATTTTAAGCCCCTATGCTGAAGAAAAAAGCCTTTCTATCTATCAGTCTGCAATCTATTAATGTCATAAATATACACTAATACAAATACGTAGGAATCATGAGAGAAATTTGCCATATAGTTATCTATCTTCAGCATGTTTAGCAGAAATAATGGAAAGGCATGAAAGAAAATTGTCATATTATTAACATGTATAATTATCTAATGTTCAGCATGTTCAGCAGCAATGATGGAAAGGTTTTAAATAACAAAGATGTCAACTGGTCACATATAATACGTCATAATTTCCAGAATTGTTCACCCAGAGTACATGAAGCTTGCACGAATTGCAATTAATGCATGACAATACCTGACATAAATTGTTATTTATGGAGAGGTGCTAGACATGTCATTTCTGCAGGTCAGTCCGCACTTATTTGATCTCAGCATCAGCTTCAGTACTTTGGAATGGCAAATCCATAAATACCGTCGATCGACCATCATTAAAGGCATGACAGTTGGAGATAATTTCAAAGATTTTATGTCTGTCCTTCAATTAACCTGACCTATAGTCAATATTGGGAATTACTCATTTCTGTACCTGATGCAATACATTATTGATGGATTCATTTCACAAATCCTTAGGGCAGTCTTTCGAGTCTTTTATTTGTACTGATCGAGCCTTTAAACAAAAAAAATGCTTTGTGGTTAGGGAAACTGGACATTGGCCAAAAACAGTCTGTGGCAATAAAAACATGCTGACATATGTAAGATATATAGGTATACATGTATGTATTTAAATATAAAGCTGACTTAAGATGCCTGTCATCATGTTTTGTGGTAGTTTGCAATCACACCATGCAATACTGGGACTGCCTTTAGTGCTGATGTCATATGGTTGTCTGAGGTGCTTAACTTTTAAATGTTCAGTAAAAAATAGAGACAAAGTACCATTGAGGGTTTAGAAATTTCTAACACATTGTGTACACATACAATGCCATACTGTATGAATTACATACATTTAGTTACAACTCCATAATAAATATTTCTGTTAAAAAGCAAAATGTCTCTGTATCATTATTTGAAGTAGATGGGTTTCCAGAAATATTGACCAACTTTCCTTATAAACCAATTAATTTGAATCGATCAGATGTAAAATGTTATTTCACCCTCACCTGAAAATGATAACGCATTCCATAATATACTAACACTGAGGGACATAATTACCTGCATCTAAGGTAGCATCACTACTGGGTCTGGAGAACACTCCTGAATCTCTGTTTCCCTTTGACTTAGAATCTGTCCTTCTTGTTCTCGAAGACACTTTATCACTAGGTTCAGAATATTTGCGAGGGGCATATCGCCCTTTGGTGTAGTCTGACTGCGTACGTGATATAGGGGCACTATTTTTACTAGACACCGGTATACTACTGCGATCCGCGTTGTCTTTTTTACTTTGCGTTGCTTTGCGTTCTGTTCTCTGTGAAGCACTCCGCCTGGCAGAGGATTTCCGATCATGTGAAATGTCCTTAATCTTAGAAATATCCTCCACTGGAATATTTTCCTTTGGGGGCGGATTTAAAATTTGTTCAATTTGCGACACTTCCTGACTTGTGTCATAGTCATGAGCCTGCGCCGTGGGTGGCGTTTTCTTTTTCGTTCCCAAAGCCGGCTCATTTCCCGATTGCGTAGGTGGAGACACTTGAAAACTATGCTTAATTCCCTTGAACACATCAGTATTTAGAGGTTTAATTGGTCGACGGTCGTACGCATCATATCGTGTTTCCCCTGAAGTTGCAGGCCTATTGTCGGTCTGCATATAAAACGGGTAGTTGTTTAGGGGGGCGGAACTGGTTACCGCTGGCGCCGTCATCGGTCTGTTGGGGGTGGGGGCGATTTCTAGAGGTAAGTAGGTTGATTCTGAATCCAGCAGACTGGTTTGACTCTTGACATCATCTGAGAAAATAAAAAACTTGGTTCATTTCAATATTAAAAACTTCAAAGACAATCGATTTTAAGACCTACAGTTTATTATGAAGAAAATTACGGGGAAAAATACTTAAAAGAAACATGCTTATAACTGCATTGATGATTGTAAGTAAAGTGATTTTCATCCCCATGTGAATTTAACAGAATGATATAAAGAACTAAGTTTATAATGATTGCAGCAGAGTCAATTATCCCTGGCATTTCAATGTTGGTATGCTTTACTGTACAACCTGTTTAAATTAGAAGAAATTCATGATGACATTGCAGAATTTAAAAAAAAATCAGTTCTCAAATTGCTATCAGATGCACAAGCAGCTTTAATAATTGAAATTTGTTTCTATTGATTTACAGAACAAATAGATATCGTTTTCAAATTAAGCCATGATTTAAATGATTTACACAGACTGAAAATGAAATCGTAATTTAATCAAGTTGGTTATACACGTGGGAATAAAACTTTGTTGACGTTCATCAACATTAACAAAACATCCTGCTGATTTGTTGGCCTCCAGATAAATTTGTACTTTATGAAAAATGAATCAAATGCAGTTTTTTTTCTTTTTTTTTTTTTTTGCAAAACATAATTACAAATGTAATGCTAAAGGTTATTGATCATGTTGATTTCATAATTCTATATCCACATTCATTAAATGTAGAAATTCACAACCAGGATCATTTATAAGTTAAAATATATAAACAAATGATCATGATTTCTTATTATTTCGATCATTAAACTTTTCCATGATGGATGTGGGAAATTAACACCATAAATTCATTCATATAAAGATTTTGATATAAAATAACTTGTATTATATACATATATTTACTAGGGCTGGGACGATACAACTTTTTCTATATCGATTCATATCACGATATTTGAGCCGGACGATACGATATGTATCACGATATGTTTGATTGCTGATAAATTCTTTTTTTGCATTGAAATAAACAAATTATTTCTTTGCAAATAAGAATAATTTATTCAAAATAATTGTTTATATATTGTAAAACAAAAATATTTTACTCAAGTGGTATTAATTATTATTTATTTCATATCTATATTTATATTTAGCTTATTTATTTTATATATTAAACCCCAAATGTTAAATAAACAAAGAAAAACAGAAGTAAGATTTTTTGGGGCGATATTCCGATATTTCTTCATATGTATCGATATGCATATCGTCCTAACATGTATCACGATATATCGATATCTCGATATATCGTCCCAGCCCTAATATTTACCTGCATCTACACTGACATCTTGTAATAGCCATCCTACTTGATGTCCCCCAGTGTTGATTCCTTTCTGAAGTCCGAGTAACACACTTCTTTCATCTATAAACCAGAAGTCTCTGTCGAGACTGAAGCTCTACTGGTTTGTACTTATAGCAAAGGAAGAGAAAAGTACTTAAGCAGTTGGAAATTGAAACTTTTCAACAGCAATAAATAGAATGATGATCCTTGATTAAGTCTCTTTATGTTCTTAGTGCAGTCTACTAGCATGCCACATTTATATTATAATCAGACTAAAATTGTATTTGGAGAAGCATTTTGAAAGAATTTCGCAGAAATTTCTATTTTTAGTAACCACGGCAACACCGTTCATCGAAATCAAAAACCGATATACAGAATTATGTATCTTAGTGTAGTCTACTTGTGTGCCAAGTTATATTGAAATCAGACTAAAACTGTAGAAGGAGTAGCATTTTGAAAGAATTTCACAGAAATTTCTATTTTTAGTAACCACAGCAACACCGTTCATCGAAATAAAAACCGATATACAGAATTATGTATCTTAGTGTAGTCTACTTGTGTGCCAAGTTCTATTGAAATCAGACTAAAACTGTAGGAGGAGTAGCATTTTGAAAGAATTTCACAGAAATTTTCTATTTTTAGTTACCACGGCAACACCGTTCATCGAAATCAAAAACTGATACACAGAATTATGTATCTTAGTGTAGTCTACTTGTGTGCCAAGTTATATTGAAATCAGACTAAAACTGTAGAAGGAGTAGCATTTTGAAAGAATTTCACAGAAATTTCTATTTTTAGTAACCACAGCAACACCGTTCATCGAAATAAAAACCGATATACAGAATTATGTATCTTAGTGTAGTCTACTTGTGTGCCAAGTTCTATTGAAATCAGACTAAAACTGTAGGAGGAGTAGCATTTTGAAAGAATTTCACAGAAATTTTCTATTTTTAGTTACCACGGCAACACCGTTCATCGAAATCAAAAACTGATACACAGAATTATGTATCTTATTGTAGTCTACTTGTGTGCCAAGTTATATTGAAATCAGACTAAAACTGTGGAAGGAGTAGCATTTTGAAAGAATTTCACAGAAATTTCTATTTTTAGTAACCACGGCAACACCGTTCATCGAAATCAAAAAACGATATAGAGAATTGTGTATCTTAGTGTAGTTTACTTGTGTGCCAAGTTATATTGAAATCAGACTAAAACTGTAGGAGGAGTAGCATCTTGAAAGAATTTCACAGAAATTTCTATTTTTAGTAACCACGGCAACACCGTTCATCGAAATCAAAAACCGATATACAGAATTATGTATCTTAGTGTAGTCTACTTGTGTGCCAAGTTATATTGAAATCAGACCAAAACTGTAGGAGGAGTAGCATTTTGAAAAATTGTTTACAGACAGACAGACAGACGGACAGACAGACAGACAGACGGACGGACGACGGACGCATTACTATCGCATAAGCTCTTCTGGTCTCTGACCAGTAGAGCTAAAAACAAAATACATACATCGTTCAATCCTAATGGTACAGACTGAATAAAAATTAGGTTGACAATGAAAAATATTGCAAGTACCAAAGTAAATAACTTCTGCTCCACCAATTTTTTTTAATAACCTCAATGACCAATCAATGAATTGAAAGTTTAAATAATTAAGAAATTTTTTCTATGGATGTCAATCAGCTATGATAAGTCAAAGGAAAAATTCAAGACTACAAAATTTGGTTCAAGTTCAAGCCAATATCCAAATTTCCACCAAAAATAACTCACAAGCAAGTACTTTGGACCACAGAATATCACTGACGAGAGAAAACCCACAGCACATAGATCATTACAACATACCTACAAGGACTGACCCACAAAATTAAACCCTCCTCAAACTCATTAACTGCCGGGGCAGATTATCACAGTTTGTGTTTACTCAGCAGGTCCTAATATACCTATCTTTTACTTACCTGGAACAAAGAACCTTAAGTCCCATTTATCCAAACATTATGCAAATCCAGACAAAAAAATTTCATTAAAATACAGTTGATCACAAATCCTTGGGTTTTATCTTCTACCCGAAAATGAAGAAGCCTCTGGTACAAGTTCATTCTTATGTAATACTTGGTTAGCTGTGGTATAAGCCTTTAATCTAATAGAAGGGGTGGTGACAGGTACATCTTTATTTTTAAAAACTTATCTGGCATTTAGTCTAATCAATATCTGAGTTACCCCTTCTTACAAGAAATTTAGAATTTATATAAGGGTGTAGCTCAAGGGACTTATCAATGCAATCAACAGCACATTATTAATCCATGACATCCAAATGTGCAATACATAGAGAAATGCGTTTGGCTTTATCACTCTTTAGGGTTCAAAAACCTTTCTGCTTTCACACATCTCTTAACTTCTAAATCTGATCAAATTTAATTTATCGATATCTTTAAATTATTGCCTTATGTGTGTGGTTTTATGCTTGTCATTAAAATAGTAAAAATAAAATCCATATAAATCCACAATATCTATAATACATAAAATTGGGGGGGGGGGGGGGGGTTTTACAAAAACCTGCCAAATTTTTTATAGATTTTAAAAAGTAGACATTGCTAGGAATCAAACTTATCTATACATGAAGAGAAATACAGAATAAGGAGGGGAAGTGGAGGTAAGGTTTTTTTTTTTTTACCATATGCACAGATGAAAATTTGAAGGGGACAAAGAAATACACCCCCAAATGCCAATAAAGGTCTATACTTTCTTCACAACAAAGAATTGACAAATTGCCAAGCTCAATGAGTGCTGTTTAAATGTAAATAATCACACAGCTGATCCTTTGTTAAAAGAATGGGCAAAATTCTATATTGATTCCAGATTGTGTTTTATTACATTGTATAGATCTACCTGAAGAAAATGTTATCAATACAGGGCTTTTTTATGGCTTTTTACTGGCAGCATAATACCTTTGTTACAATCTATTATTTCACTTCGGTCTATGCACCTGTTTACAAACAAAAAGTTTAAAAGTTTTAGACTTTGGCATGATTATAAATAAAGAAAACTTAAGTTTCATTTGTGTTGACTAAATTCAAACCTGACTCTTGATTTAACTCTTATTAGTGATAGTCTTTAGTTTCATTTCTTTGTTTGTTTGTTTGTTCTTTAATGTCCCTTTCAAGAATTTTTCATTCATACAGAAACCTCACCACTTGCCTGTGGAGAGCTGCAAATTTTGTCCTACACTCAGTACTTAGGGCCATTCAGCTTTGAGCAGTTAGGGATCCTTTTTCCATACTGGCACAAATAGTTTAATCGGTCTCCTTTAAAGGACTGGTCTTCATGCACCTCCCACAGTGGGATTTGAACCAGCGATGTAAGGTTGAACTCCTAACTTTGCCAGTTAAGACTCTAGAGCAGACTCTCTCACAAATGTGCCAAGTGGGCAACTTGTTAGTTTTAAATAAAAATATTCTTTCCAAAACAATCTTTAAGTTAATATTTTGATGTTTAACCATCTCATAATATTAAGATTACCAACAATTTGATATAAAGGAACTCACTTTAACATAGTTCTGTGTCTATGCTTTAAATTTCCCTTACAAGTTACAAAATCAAAGCGATTGTGTAAAAGGAGTTTTAAAAGTACAAAATTTTCAAGAATAACTCGCAATCCCATCCCACTTCTTAATTGATTCATAACTTTTTAATCCTCTCTAAAAAAACCCTACAAGTTCAAAGTTTCTTCAAACAGAAAAAAAAATATACAATACTAAATTATCTAGAAATGTTATGTCTTTTCTGTTTGTTCAAATGTAAAAAAAAAAATAAATGTCCTACTTCTGAGACAAATCAATTTCATCTGCCATGTAAATTACGAACAACTTGTTCAAGGAGAGAAAAATCCCCTGGGAAAAGCAGATTCATCCACTGTGTTAGCTATAGGTTTGATCAATCTTTCATAATGTCCTCTGCATAAATGAAAAGTACCAATAACCCAGATTCTTGAAATCAATTGCATGTTTGTAAGTACAAAAATATCAATTACGAAAACAAATACAAAAATCATAATTGCTTCACGGATGAGAGTCCTGTTGGAACAGCTCAAGGAAAGGGTTCATGTATTTGAAAACAAAAGGTTCAAGAAAACAGGGACCAGGATTGAACACAAAAATACTTGTTAGGCATAATCGGGAAAAATTTCAAATAATATAAAAGAATCTTTACTTATATGGTCTTCAAAATTTCATATCAAAATGTTGTAAATTGGTATTAATTTTGAGTGATTTTTCCGGACATACCATTAAGTCACGGCACAGCAAAATCTTCGACGTCACAAGCATTATAAAAAAATATGTGATTGAGCTATCATTTTCTCAACATTTTCCCTTGAGTACCTGTATAGTATGAGTTACCTTATCTACGTACTCAACATCAAAACACCATTTCTTGTCAAGCTTAAAATCTATTTAACAAGTAGCTTTTTTTTTTTTTTTAAACCAAAAATCATAATTTCTAATTCAACGGTTAAAGGCATATTGATAGACAATACGTCTAAAATTTCAATTTGCAAAAAAGTAGCCTAGTTTACTACATGTTTTATTATGCATATTTTGGATCTATGTTGCCGATAGAGCATTACACATATTTTAACAAAAGTGTGGTGCGCCGTCAATTCAGGAGACGTCATTTTCACAGTCGTTTTCACGGGAATCGCAACAGAGAAAAATCACTATATTTCTGTTATTACTTCAAATATTACTTCCGAAATCTAAATACATAAAAATAGAACAATTTAAAGGTACATTTGAGAAAATTGTTGAATTTTAGAAAATCAATGAGTTAAAGGATGCTTTTGCTTCAGTACCTCTCCATCAACGATATCAACATACATTTTCATGATCACTGTGAAATTTTTCTATATTCTGTAAGATAATAATCTCATTTTTTCAAGGCATTTCAAAATGTCATTTAACATAATGTTGAGACACTGTTTGTCAGCAAGTCTTCTGGAACAGCAGTGTAATTCTTAGCTATCAAATTTCTAATTCAACTGGCATATTGATGAAATACGAAGCAAAAAATTAGTATGATCAAGAAGACTCCATATAGTGGATAATTTTATTTTTAACAAAAATGGTTGGAAAGGATTGTAGCTGATACAGTTTCATGATCACATTTCTTCATAATATCTCATTTCAAGTTCAATGTTCATGAGACACATTTCAAAAAAGTCCACATCAATCAAAACAGACTTATCAATCAAAGTTTCATTGATCAAATCTCTGAACTCCAAATAGACTTCTCAATAGTTTCATTGATCTGTTGATTTGAATTTTTTTTCTTTTCAATTCCATGTGTCAAGTAAAATATGGTCGATTCCTTATTAATCAAGGGATCAAATAAAACAGGGTGAAACACCTATAAGTCTGTCACCCCACTCAATAATAAAACACCCAACAAAACTAGACATTAACTGTATAATACTCACATGGACATCCTCAAGACATTAATCCAATAAGAAACACAGATTACAGAACCATTAATGATCACTTCTGGTTATCCAAGATGTATTTTCTCCTTTAAGAGTGGGTACAGAAAAAGAAAAAGACTGATTTACATGTACTCTTCCTTGGAGTGTGTATAGATCTAGCTTTGTAACACTAAGCTGTGTTTGTGTTGTCATTTAAATGAAGGATTGCTGTCTCATTGGCACCAAGCCATTTCTGGGTACATGGAGAAACATCCTTTGTGTTTTTTTGAAACGTGAATGCCTTAACAATCAATGCTTCACAGAAGCTTTAAGCTAACTGCTTTAAAAAGTTAATAACTTCATCTCTTTTTTTATGCACTTTGGGATTTATTTTTTTCATCTTTCTTTGATTTATACAAATTGTATTGTCAAAGCAATTTCAGTTTTATCCATTATTTTGCACAACACACTTCATCATTGAAAGGTAAACTATACACTCAAAGAGTTTGAACTTTTAACAAATCGGTCACAGTTGTTTAAATGTTTACAAAACAATGGCCCACCAATAATCAATTATCTCTATGATCATTCAGAAAGATCTGAACTGGGGATCATAAAAAAAAGAATCGAACTTCAGATAAGATTCGGAGAGATACGTATTTCCATACAGTCGCAGGCTTTTTTTATACCACCACTCTGACACAATAACCTAAACTGCCAATCTTTCAAAAGCACAAACTTGTCACATTATAGTAAGTACATCCACTTCTGAAAAACTTTGTATGAATATACTTGCTCCTTCCGAATTCAAAGACAATCTTTACCCAGTGCAACATGGACAATATAGCATGAAGGGATTAAATCTACTTGAGTCAAAATATAAACATTATCGGACAATTTCAATGGCTTAGAAGCAGTGGCAGGTGAATGACTCAAAGAAACCTATTCAGAGCATGTATATAGAGAACATATCAAATTTTCGACCATGTGTAGATTTAAAGTTGCATGTGATCAAAGCACCTACATTTGTCGTTTAGCCATAGATTCATCATACACTGTGACATGTTCATTTTGCTCTCTCAACACAGTTTTGTCTCCCTCCAAATTGACATTGTGTAGTATGTCAGGGAAAAAAATACGTACCTTCTAAGAAACAGTTTATCTAGCTTAAAACTTCATAGAACAAGAGATATGGATCTATCAAAGAAATAAACCTTCTGTAGACCATTGCCATCAGGATAAGCTCGAAACCAGACCAAACCATATAAAATACACCTTACTCCTCTTATTCCCAATAACAAATGTGAAATTTTGTTTACTGTAACATTTATATTTACTTGTTCATGCAGCTCATCTATTTTATGGTGCTTATGCCATAGGGAAAAACGGATCACTTTTATGCCAACCAAAAAAATCCCTCTCTTCCTTGTTCAAGTAACTTCCTTTGATTCCGACAACAACTTTGCTGTTGATAGGGTAACAGTCCTCAGTCTGTGATGGTTTACACACAGTGAATCCAAAAATACCAACTAATTATGCAACAACAGACTAATATCAACTTTACTGCTACTTAAGAGGTCCTCAAAAGACTTAAATATACATCTGTTTAACATGCTTACTTCTAGAACAGAACCTCAACGAATTTACTGCCCCCCTCCCAGCCCAAAGTTAACTTTAAATTATACTGTACAACCTCGCATTTGTCGATTATCCAACTTTTCGTCAATGAGCCAATGTAAACATCAATGTCGGAAGACTGATATCCACATGTAAACACAACACTTCTCCACTGATAAAGCTTTAAATCTAGCCAATCATTAGCCCGCAATGCTATCCTTCTAAATCCCTACCCAAGAGAAAGAGCACTGAATGCTGAAAAACAACCCCATCCTCTGCTATTGTTCTTGAATCCTGGAAATGTTTTCTTATGGTTTTAAACTTATTAAATACAGCCTTTCAAATACTAATCAATACAGAGAATTAAATTATTCATCAATTTTGTTTATTTACCTCGGATTTTGACCTTTGGTTTTTTAATTTCCTTCCTATTTGCATCTCCTGTATTTAACTTGCATCATGAAAATCAATGTTTGGGCCATTAAGATAACCTTCTGACTACAACAAGAACTGATTAAAGTCCAAAATTATTTCTTCTATACACTTTTTCCAATTTTCCATTGCAACTTCTGATTGCAATCCAAATGGTTAATCTTGCATGAAACCTGCAAGGAGCTCTGAGTCAACATAGTTAATGCCAGTGACTTCTGAATCAACATTTCTTTTCAATAAATCAAAAAACCATTCAATATGCTTTATTGCCTGCTGAATAGCATCTCAAATTTGAATATTACAGGACTGTCAAGAAAACAAGTTAAAGGTAATGAGACCTCAAATAATTTATTTACAGATGGACAGACAGATAGGCAAAGTGTCTACCATAGGGTGTATACAAAATTCATAACACCACCTTAAAAGCTACATAATTTAGACAAGTTAGGTACAGTAAAACTTGACTAATCCTAATACCACTGGTTCCAAAGAAATTGGTTAGACTAGAGAACATTCCAGTTAAGACAAAATTTTTAACAACTGAATTTAACAGGGACCTGAAGTTTACATCATATTAGGTAATACCGTAAATCTGGAAATTTTTGCTGTAGATAAATTTTTAGCAAATTTGTGAGTTCATTGCATTCGCAAAAATATTTTTCTTAAAAATAATTCAACAATAAGAAAATATAAACAAAGTAGTGGTCATTCACAAAATTTTGAAACGTAAGAATTAATCAACAGCATTCTGACCCAGATTCGCAAAATAAAATCGACATAAAAATTTCCAGATTTACGGTACTTGGGAAAAGAACAACATTCAGATTAAAAACGTTCCTCTGCAGTTACTGAAACATATCAAGCAATATTTTGAATGGAAGAGCGGGAGAGGACTATCTAAGTTTCTGGAACTTGTGTCCAATCCCTTTGACATATTGTCAAAAAATATGTTCAAAACAATATTCTGAAAAGTCAACATTCAGATTGGAAAAGTTCTGCTGTACTTACTGGAACTACTCCAAGCTTGCAGAGGAGTCCGATCTACCCCATGCTTTGGGCTCTCGGCTCTACTGACTGGAAAATTAGATTTGCTGACACCTGCTAAAACAAAACAAAAGTTGTAATGAGTGCATTCATGCTTCAAAACATACCATAAATTCCACTTGCCTTTACGGGTAAATGATTCAAACAAAACAATGACACCTAATGTCCTGAAAGGTACCGTTCCCTTAAATAATCATTCATTATTTAGATCAATTAAAAAAATTAATAAATTGAATATGGCGTTACAACTGTATTTGTATCATAACTGTAATTATTCAAATTTAATATGTTTATAGTGCATTTTTTTTTTTTTGGTTAAATTTTCAGTCCAACACAGACATAAAATAATTCTTTGTATTCTTGATACAACTTATATATATATATATATTTTTTTTTTTAAATATAATTTACCAAATACTTTGAATGACTGACTTTTTAACAATTATGGCAAACTTTAGTAGCAGCCTTCTTAGAAAAAGAAACATTTAAAAAAAAAAAACTTGAATTGCAAATAATTGCTTAATGAGAACTAATACAACTGCTTTAAATTTCAATTTTTTGCCAGGAAGAAAAAAACAAAATGTAGATACTGACTGGCAACAAGAAATCTAAATGTTTATTTATGGATACTAATATAATTCTCCCTGGAGGCTGCTTTGTATAATTATATTTAACAGTACAAGTTTTAAATTTCCTACAGAATAATTTATTCAAAACCAAATGGCTATAAACATTGCGGTATCAAATATTTCATCCCTTACATAGAAATCTCACGAGGGATACTAATAGAGGCCATGGTCTTTAAAGCGTTTCAGCATCAAAGATATCAAATTTGTATCACATGGATTTTACCAGTTCTGCGCAATACATAAAAAAAAATGTGTTGCAAAATTCAGAATCAATTTAGTAAAAGGACACCTGTGCATATGCATAACGCATAGAGGAACACAATGCAAATTTGATACTAAGTACAAAACTAAATGAAAAACTTTTACAATCATATGATGAACAACAATGAAAAATGCTGAATGCTTAAATTGATCTGAATCTTAAAGGTATTTAAAACTTTGATGATGTTTAGAAAGACGACAAGTTCTCCACCCATAAGCTAGGGTTACACACTGTCAAGTAAACAGTGTGGTGTGTCCAAAGGAGGGGGGTATCAAATATTCTACTACCCTTATCCTTTTTTTCAATAAATCAGACCTTAAATGCCCATGCTTTTATTTTTACTGATTATAATAACTCCTTATAAACTTAACCTACAATGGTTGCAAGTTAAGTTAACTTTATACCCAGTCTAGATGCAATGCGATGCGCAATATGGCTGAAATATTGCAGTCTCGGCGTAAAACAGCAAAAACTAACCAATCATAGATGCAATGAGATAAAGCCATATAAACCTTATTACTGAAAGCACAGAACTCTGGTAAGGTTTGAGCCCTGATAAATATTTATTATTATTTTATCTTCACAACTGGGTTTAAGGGGATATAGTAATACAATTGTATATGTTCATTTTGGGGTGAGTGGGTGTGTGAGTTATGCTGTGCAAAAGGGAGGAAATGTATCTCAATGCATTGGGGTTGATGTCAAATGCTGCTTTGATTTATAGATAGATATGCTCTTTGTGAGCGAATATGCTCTACTTTGCAGTGCCCTTGTTCATTCTAAACATACCAAATTCCTTACTGTTCCCAAATGACTGACTTTGTTCCTGCACAGAGAAGGAAACACTCGTTTTAGTTTGCTGCTCAGGGGGTGTGGTTTTGTGCTGAGATGTGCTCAACTGAGTATACTCGAGAACACTACTTTGGTGCAGTTGGTCCCTGTGTTGTCTTTGTTTGGTCAGAATTTGGCTTAACTTTGCATCCTCTTGTGACTCGAGCTGAAATGATAAATGAATGAATGAAGTACATGTCAGACCTTTGTCAAATAATGATGAGTTTGGTTTTGACTATTATATGGATTGTAATTGCCGTTCTTCTATTTGGTATAAATGATTCTGAAAAGAGCAATGCATCTCTTCTTTTTAAAGTTTTCTCTCTTATTTATGTTCAAGATATTGAATTTCTCTCTTAAGCGAGGGTGCTGAGATCGCAATTACAGTTAAAAATTTATTCGTTTTATTTGTAATAGGTTCTTAAGTGAACATTTCAAAATCGCTAAAATTACATCTCGCTAAAAATAAAATACCTGTTTTTACAGACAAATCGCTAAATTTGCGTCTCGCTAAAATTTCTACTTATACGGTATTTTCTATTTATAATTAATTAAGTCCCAGCTAACAGATATAAGTACTAATGTAGCTGAGATAATCCAAATCAATCTGAAAATCAATACAAAAAGAAATGCCACTGAATTCAGATGATATCTAAAATTTTAGGGGTTTTCCCATGGATTTTCCCTTGGAAATTATCCAGCATCCTAACTTCACCACCCTCAAACCTTAATCGTATTCCTATCCTGCTGAGAAATTTATATGACAGATCCTTAGTGTCAGATAGCACAGAGATAACTTAAGTCCACATCCCACAAAATTATGAATATTTTACAGAATAGTGTACCCACAGACTGAAAGCAGATCATTTTGTGTACTGCAAGATTGATTACATGTTAACCAACTTGAAACTAATTGTGGTGGCTGCCTAGCTGATACATTTTATGATTATTTCTGAAACATGCTTCTAAATTTTAGCACTAAATAATAGTATACCACAATCAAATTCAATACTTATAGATAAAATGTCATACAATTTTAATTTTAAATTATAATTTTGTTTATACTGAATTTATTATTACAGTTACTACAGTCAAACCTAATTATGATGAACTCATAAGACCATTAGGAAAAACTTCCAAGATAATCAAGGATTTGAGATGTTGAGGGTATACATGTAAAACCCTTACAGAATTTTAAGTAGTTGGGACTTCCAAATCACTTGGACATGTCCAGGGTATACAAGAGATATGTGAGATAGCTCTAGATACCAAAGTTCAACTTTATTCAAAATGAAAAAAAAATCAATATAAAGTGAATTATGCAGTTCTTTCTTACAAAATATTTCTCAAAAACAAACTTCTTCGCAGATGCAGCCCAATGTCTTCAATTTATTTGATCCTTGACTGCATAATATTGCACAACTAAGGATTTATAAGAGTAATATAAAATTATTCTTAACTTCCTTGCAGAAAAAAAAGTAATTGAAATCTCAACACCAGATGGATCATAATGAGTAAGTGCGTCTTAGAATTTCAATCACATTTCCTTGCAGATATTAAATTCCTCCATCAAAAGTAAACATCAAAGCCAAACTTCGGCTAATAAAAATTTTGTTATTATCTTTGAAGATTAAAATAATTGATTTCCAACAGCAAAACAAAAAATGCTTTTGTTATTAAAAATGATGAAATTACCAATCCATCATAAGTTACTGGAAGCTCAAGGCTACTTGTGTCAGATTTCAAAGATACAGTTTGGTTTCGAGTACGTAAGTGTATAGAGTTTGGGATTACGAAGGGATACAACCTGCCAGTGGTAGAAAAAATAGAGAAAATCTTATTTCCTCTTTCAAATTTTTGAAATAGAAGGGGAGCATTTAGATTTGAAAAAGAACAAATTATGATTGTTTGATTGATTGTATGTTGCTTAACATCCCATTAGAGAATTTTTTACTCAGACATCACCATATACCAATAAAGGGTCTCAAATACTGGCACTTACGGCCATTGAGCAGTGAGGAATCTTTAATGTGCCAACATCTACTGCGACGCGGGACCTAGGTTTTTAAGGTCTCATCCGAGGGACTCGCAACTTTCACCTCCAGATGCGGAGCGCATGGGGATTGAGTAAGTCAGTGACTACCAATTTTTTAATCAAACGAGGTCAGTTGCAGCCGAGATTTGAACTCAAAGAGACTATTTTTTACAAATGCACTACGAGTACTAGCTGGCAAAAATGTCATTTTTGATTCTCAGTTCTCATTAACTTGTAGTTACAAGAGTCAACCAAGGATATTCCAATTTAATCACCAAGTACTTCTCCATGCAACACTACAAATTATCCAAGATTTATAACATTTGACATTGAATCTCTGGTACCAACAGGAAATATGATTATAAACTAATATTCAAACAGTTCGAACAATTAATATTACCTTGAAGGACAAACAATAATTAAGGTCAAAATTAAAAGATCAATATTTTTGCAGGTGAATATTCCAGATAAAGCAGCGCAATACACGCAGCTTAATACGGCATAAAACATGTCTACTTCCTGAACAGCGCCCACCTCTGTCGCAGTGGTAATTAATGATTTCAGTAATTATTAAAACAAGCTTAATTACAAAAAAGCCTGTCGGAAAAACAATGACATTTAGATCAATAGCGACTGATTCTGGCAATAATACCCCCTACTGCGCCAAAGACTCGATAAAACAGACTGCTAAAATGTGTCAATCATGACAAAACGTCCATATTCCACAAAGCTCCTATCACTACCTTGACAAAGTCATGAATATTTCATTGATTCAATGTGCTTTGCAACAGGTACATGGGATTAATTTGTTAAACACTTCAACATAAAATATGTGTGTGACTTGATCTTATTAAAATCTGTCTTTCAGAATATTTGTAGTATAAAGCTGTGAAATATGAATCAGCAAACTCTGTTGCTATTAAATTTCCAGAATTGAATTCCAGCAGCTGCGAACTTGAGAACTTGAAACAGATCATGATGCATGCAAGTCATTAATAATACTACTTATCAGACCATTCCAATTAATGTACATTTAATTGCAGGCGTACTCAGGTGATACTTCTGCCTGATATTGCTCCAATCCCCAGGTGTCTATAAATCCTGGAAATTGGAAAGCAATTCTACGATCTAGATAGAAAAATGCTGACTTTAATGGTTTACTCAGATGGCAAATAAAATCAAAATTTTATCCTGACCTACAATTATTTAAAACCAGAAATGACATTTATATAACATGGTAATTTCAGAATAATTAACTATGGTAGTGATGATGCATATTGTTGAATATAAAGTTAACATATTTTATCAATGCTGCAGGCAAATTTTTTTTGGGCAATATAATCAGGTATTAAATGGTCTATATACTTCTTTCTTTGCACTTATAATTTTAACATTGAAATCCCCTTTAAACTTAAACACCCACTCTTTTATCATCAGGTTCTTATTTCAAAGAAAAGTTCTGTGGATAATTGTGTCAACCTCGACCTTAAAACCCACATGCACTACAAAAATTTTGCTATCCCAACAAAGACTTATGAATTGTTTGGTTATAACAGGTCTGTATTTTTTATGTTGCTTGCTTATAATGAAGAAGTTTGAAAAGTTTCCACCTACACATAACTGTTAACCAATAAATTAATAAATGAAAAATTATTTTGCAGTATTCAGTGACATACCTGACCAAATTTTAGGGGGGTAAGATCAAGCCAATTTCGCAAACACTATATCAACAAACCCTCTGATAACTTCACAGAATCAAAGTACATGTATATGCAGAAGTCTGTTCAAGGTTCAACATTCAAGGGTTTAGATCTGGAGATGACACCCCATACAACTAGAACTGATACTGTTATCATTAACGAAGTCACACTTTAAATGTTAAGTAGCTCTCCATAGATAATCCAAATTTACACTTAAACAAGCTACTTCAAAGATGAGAAATTTATACGGTACTTAAACCAGCAATAAACTCCATGGAGTGTAAATTATATCATCTAAATTTAAATGTAAACTAGAAAACTGACCAGTCAGCAAGGGCCCCGCCACGGGGTAGAATTAAAAGGGTGCAGCTTATGGAATGATTAAAAAATATATGACAAATAAGAAACAGCAACTGTATTCTTAAAATTTCAAGATAATTCCTGAATATCCAAAAACCTGTAAATTATATCCTTGTATTTATTTTACATAAGGCATTAAAGAACAACTCAACACTGAATGTATATATCTAAACTATAATATAAAATGCCAGCCTTCAATGAATGCAAATACATATCATGAAGGTTTGACCTTAACTTCAAAACAAACAGCAGTTGCAGACAAAGGTTTTCATTAATCTTAAAGTGACAGATAAAGATAAACCTTCTAAATTTTTAGCAACTAGATAATTAATCCCAAGGGATTAACTGTACTCTCTCTCATCATTTTCTTCTTAATTTATAATAAGAAAAAGAATGAGGATAATTTATCCTACTGCCTTAAAAATTAATAATATTCTTGAATTTTCATGAAGCAAAGAAATGAATAAATAAATAAATAAAAATAAAAAATTAAATCTTTAATCTATTTCTTGTTTTTAGATTTTAATGAAATCAGAACTCATTGTGTAGGGTATTTCAACAAAAATAAAGTAAAAACATTTATAAGTACTTCAATCCACATTTCAGAGTGTTCATAGCATTCCAAATGGACTTAACTTCAAAACAAACTTCATTTACAGACAGAGGTGGTAATTAATCTCAATGTGACAGGTAAAGATAATGCTTTGGATTTTCTTCAGGAGGAAAGCTAATTAATCCCAAGGGACTCATTCACTGCAGTATTCAGTTTACAATGGGAACATTTTCAGAAGTTATCTCTCTTTGCCAATTCATTCTTATATAAGTTAAGGAATCTACCCCACCACCCCAGCTCCAAACCAGAAGACATAGAGAAACAAACTTAGCATCAAAATATGTCTTTTTGCCTACTGAACTACCATACCAAATTTGAACTTAATTGGACTACAATAAAAAAAGTTATTAGGAAAAAACAGAAAATTTGTGGATGAAGAATGACAGACGGACAGACAGACGGACAGACAAACAGACAAACAGAGTGATTACTAAGGGCACCCGCAAATTTAAATGCCC